GGCTTTGTTTTCTGACTAACTTCTGGATTGTATCTGCGTTGAAACCAATATTATATCAATTTCCCTAGCTAGATTGTTAGCAGATAAAGGCAATGAGAATGCTCTGTGCAACATTGAATTGTAGGCTGCTAATTTATGACTGTCTGGATGGAAAGAATCATTTGGAATGGTAATGACTGTACAGCTAGGTTTTCAGATGATTCGACGTTTTCTAGCCTTCCTTGGCATACAACCTCAAATTCCCGAATCTAAACGATACGAAAATTTTGCACTATGCAATCCTTGGAAATTTACAAGCATAAACATTGCAGGTGCAATCTGTTAAATGATCAAATCGATTTAGTTAACAATTTAGCATACCCACATGGTCACTAGTAAACAAAAATTCAGGTACTCAATCTAGCTAAGTACCTCAATTATTAACTACAGTAGTGTTATATACAAGCTAATGTAATCAATCATTGTTAGTTAAATGTTTAAGTTTGAAAATGTCCTTATGGGACGAAACTGCAGTAACGTTAGTTACAAACCTTTGTAGGTAGCTTTCAGATTTCATTTCAACTCATCATAGACTATTCTAACTTAAACGTATTCATAGGATTCAATAGATGATAGATTTCAATTAACTATATTTTTTCAATGGTTCTTCTTCTTCCTCTTTGAAGATGATCACTTGGTGATCATTCAGAATATCCTGACTGAAATACTTTATTTAATTCCATTGAATGTTCTCCAGGGATCAATGTTGGAACTCATTTTTTTTTTCATTTATGTTATTGATATCATTATCGAAACAACTATAGAGTTGAATATGTTGATGATAACACATAATGGAAATTAATCAGTTTGAGAATAGCAAAATAACAGACACTGCGAAAGTGCTTAAGATTATTTTTTGGTCTTGAAGAAATAGGTAATGACAAAATTTTAGAAAAAAATGTCAGAATTTCGTTAAAATACATTTGGCATAGATATTCAGGGCCTATGAAATTCAAAATGTACGTATTTCAAAAGTCGCACTTGAAGATATGTGAATAACAAAAATTATTACCAGAAAAATAAACATATCTTTCCTATTTTGACCCTTAACTGCACACTTTACCTATTGATATTTTCTACAGAAAAACCTGCCATATTCAACATATAGTCAAAAGTATGAAATTGCAGATAGAAATTAAAAAAGTAATAAATTATAACAAATAAAATAACCATGTGTACCTATCAAAATCGAAAAATCTATTGAGGTAAGTACCTACTAATTTTTTCATTTGAATTTTTCCAATTGTTAAATGCTGTACAAAAAAAATTACTTGGGAAAATGCAAAGGGTCACTATCAAAAACAAAATACCGACCTATAAGAAAGATGAATCACCAGTTGCTCTAAGAAAAGTGGAGAAGTCCCATCAGAACGACCGAGTCGAACGTCAAAAATAACACGTGCGCCTCAAAAGGAAATCGCGGCGTCGCCAGGCAGTCTAGTCAGACGTCGCGATCCTACTGACGTCGCGACGGCCGTGAGTCTCGTGATGTATTCGAACGGCATCGCGACGCATGCGAGCGTCTTCGACGGCTTCAAGTAGTCATTTGGAGGAAGGTGGTTCCATTTCATTTCGTTTGCCTACTTCGCGGAAATGTGGAAAGTCTGGAAGTGCAGAGGATGGGTTCCTCATTAGAGCTAGAAAAATAGCGAGCTTTGATGTAGTCGGTATCGGTGCCGCGTCAAGCCAGTTCATTTGGGATTGCATTATGGGAGATGCGTTTTATGGTCATTTCGTCGCCTTGCATGACGGCTTTCAAGTTTGATTTTGTTTAAACGAGATTTATTTCAAGACATTCGAATACGACATGAATTCAGTCACTAACTAAATCTGTTTTATATTGGCTGATTGTTATGAGGAAAAATCGCGCAGCCACATTCGTAACAAATAAAATCTGCGCGATATTAGGTAGGTACCTCAAGTTATATTGCGAAGTTATTTTCTCACATCACGCTAATATATGTTATAATCAATCTCAGAAGGTGTACAATCACGCAAAACGAATATTTCCAATGGCTTGCTAACTTTTTGAATTTTGAATTTCAAGAAATATCTTGAAAAATGAGAAATCAAACTTCCTGTTTTTATAACACTTGTATTTGTAACTAACGTTACTGAAGCTTCATCCTACAAGGACATTATCGAACGAATTGTATTCGTTCGATATGAGATTCTGTGGTAGTTTGAATGAAAAGATAAACTCACCTAAACTACACCTAAAAATAAATAGCTCAACCCATACAAAAAAGGCTTTGAATAGTCTGTATTCCAGAACATTTCGCAGTATTAAAGACTATTCCAGATTTGAATTGGAGGGGTTATATTTTTAGGAGTAATCAATTTTTGGGAAAGAAAGTTTTTGGCTTCCTAACACTCCATCTTGATACAAAAAATGTGGGAATCTTTCAAAGAAAGGAAGTAATTTGAAAATAAGTAAGTCTATACATGGATGTGTAGATCATGCAAAGAAGTAACTTTCAGGCAAAAACTGGAAGAAAGCCCACCTGAAACAGGTACTTTCATATAAACATTAAATTACACGAAAGGAAAAAAAATCTTTCGTAACAAATACTTTTTTATGAACACTGAATTATACAGAAGATACTTATCTCTACTCAGTTTGTATTCCAAACATTTGTTATGGAATAAAATCAGATATCATTCACAGGAGTTCTACTTTAAATGAAAGGTAACAAATTGCACTTACATGGAACACTGTCATCCTCACTGGATTATTTCCGAACATTCCACAATATTCCAAAATGTTCCCGTATGATCTAGAATGTTCTGGAATGCATCATATAACACTAGTGATGTTCCACAATGAACTGGGACGTTCCAGAATGTACCCGAACATGCCATATTATTAACGAACATTCCAAAATATTCCGGGATGATCTGAAATGTTGTGGAATGTGGTGGAATGCACTCGAACATTCTGGAATGTTCTCTTGACTGCTCAATACTTTGTAGGGTTCCAGATTATCCCTGAATATTCCACCATATTCCAGAATATTCCGACACCATATACATAGATAGAGAGATAGATAATAGTTGGAAAATTGATTTGACTGTGTTATATACAGATATATTTGTAGCAGGTCACATAAAATCATTATTCCTTCGAAAAGTGTGATAATTTCTGTGAATCTCTAACAGAAACTGAAAAATAAATATTGAAGGAACTGCCATGATTTCTAACCGCGTAAATGAAGATTTTCAAGAATCTCTTGGACCCCATCCAGCAATGTCCAACAGTAGGTTTGTCTATTATAAAAATGCTTGAATTGCCATATGGCAAGTGGCTATGCACGAGAGAAAATTAGGAGAAGTGTGTATGTCTGTGCTGAGAGATCTCTCCAATCTCCTCATGAGAAAGAGTTGACATTTGCAAAAATGTCAACATTATAACATTATTTTAGTGACTGATCTAAATAAACAGATACATTCCACAACATTCCAGAATGTTTCAGTATACTCTCGATTGTTACGAACTATTCTAGAACTTTCTAAATGGTAATGCTAATATGACACTATGATAGAAGAAAATGTAGGCAGTAGGGTGGCTAGTATTTTATATACCTATACGTATTTATTGATTTCACAACTCAACTTACAGCGAGTGGCTAATGGTGGCTAACGAAGTATTTACAACTAGGAAACCATAACTTTCTAATAATACACTTCAAGATATCATCAATTCAATAAGTAGAAAACTTGTCGCACGAATAGGAGACAAGTACGCCGCTGTTGTGCAACAAGTTGTTAAAAAGTGCTCCACGAAATTATTCCTCATGGCAACGCATATCAGTACATCAAACAATATCGAATTGATGACTCCATTGCCCTAATGCATTTTTACCCTACGTCAAAAACGATAGGTGTGGAAAGCGATTTACCTCGCATAAGGAAAATTTTGAAACCCTCAAAAACGATATTTTTGAGATATCAACTTCACAGTGGAGAAACTTTTTCGATAATTAATTTGAACGTATGCAAGTGTGTATTAATTTTAAATGGGAATGTTTAGGAAAACAATATAGCTAATTTCGAAAAATTCTTTTTCTTTTTTTTTGCAAAATCTTAATACGTGGCCCTCATATTTTTCATAGGTTGACGTTCCAAATTGGAAATGTTTTTACATTGTAATGCTGAAAATGGTACAAAGTTGTAACATAGGGGTTACTTTTTAGAGAATTCCATAAATGAAAGTAATTCTTCATCAGAAGTTTCGGTTGTTTAGACCACATGGTTTCGTTTTCACTAGTTTGGAAAGTACGAATTGTTGATGCATACCTATGTATTATTTTTTTTCCACGTCCAGCTACTTTCGCACATCTAGTGTTTGTGCATCTTCATCAAGAAAACAATTCCAATTTAACAGTTTCCTCAGCATACTTGAAAAAAAATTTGTAAAGGCCGAAACTCAATGAAAAAAATTGATCTCAGAACATTCATGAAATTTTTTAATGGTAAATACTAAAATTGCAGAAATTTCAATGTAACTCTATGAAATGAATAATATTGTGACAAATTAAAGAATTAACTGTCTTAATCAAATTAATTTCCAACAATATTTCAATAATCACAAACTAATTTATTTATTACAAAAAACTTAGCAACTAACGCTTAATTTAATTCCACTATTTGAATTTCTTATTTAGCAGCTCGATTCACTTTCTGAACTGCCCTCTTGGATCGGAAAGACGGGCTTATATCTGTAAAGGTCCTTTCGAGAATACTGTAGACGGATCGGTACTCGACTAGAGTTATACCGGCGGTTGCATTCTTTCGTGGTGAGGTTCAAGTGTTCAAAGTCAGTCTCAATAACAAATGTACATGTGCAACTAATAATTTTTCTTTTATAACAATTTGAATTACAATTTGTTTTCCACTACAACGTAATTGTAATTTGGAATGCACTGTTGTGGTGAAAGTGAATGTTAAAGAAGGATGTGGTCAACCAGTAGCCGTAAAAATTGGGCCTATGAGACTAACTCAAAGTAATCTGAAGAAATTTGAGTTTGGTGGATAACATTCAATTTCAAGCAATATCAAACTAACTGTTTCAGTTGACCCTTGACATAATGTATTCATTCAAATTCTGGAATATCATCGAAAGAATACCCTGGCACTTTCTTATAGGCATAATAGGCAATTCTGACATGGTATGCTCCAGGGATGAACATGAGAAGTCCCAATACCACCATTGGCCACATTCTGTTAGCATACTCGACAATGATATGACCTGATATGACCATACTTCCGAAAACTAAAAGACTTGTTCCTACGACTAGTAACATGCTGGCTAGGACAATGGCTTTCCATGGTATTTTCTGGGCAGGTACCAAGAACTGGGCGTCGGTAAAGCCTTGGTCGCTTGTAGGTAATTTCGAATAATTGACTTCATTGCTCTTCGTTCTTCGTCTCGACATTGTTAGGTCATCCAAGTAATCTGAAATATTTATAAAAACAGGAAAACTTTGAAGGTTGGTTTTAATTTGCATTGTTTCTGCAACTTGTTTGGATTCGCAACTGTTTGAGAAGAAATGATGTATATATACTATAGAGAAAAATACTCACCAGAAATAGAATAGGAACTCATCTTCCGAGAATGTCAGAACTCATCTTCTGACATCTTCCCATAACCTTAAAATAATTAATAGACAATTATGTGGTCATAGACACTATAGTTATGGAACGGCCATCACGTCATTTCGCTACTAAATTCCTGGCGGATTACATTAAAGAAAGAGAGAGACTGAAATATGAGATGAAATATTGACTTAAATTATTCAATTTTTCTGTTTCATTAGCTCACATTTGAGAAGAATCAATTGACTTGAAGTGTATAGGCTTTCACGGCCCGATCCACGATAATAGAGAACAAAATCGGGGCTAGTGGGTCCTGGTCGAATGGAACTTAAATACAAAACGTTTCGTCTGCTATTGTGGGTGACGTCATCAGTGGTATGTGCGTTTACTGTGAGAAGGAAATTTATAATAATATCACGAAGTCTCAATAGCAGATGAAACGCTTGGTATTTCAGATTCCATTCGACTAGGGCCTACTAGCCTGGATTTCGTTCCCTTCATTCTAATGCATATGATTATTTTGCCCAATCAAGTATAACCCATTAATTTGGGATGATAGATGGAACAAGAATCGTTTCTGAAAGTTGACAGTGGTGTGTACTTAGCGCACAGAACTATAACTTAGTTCTGTGACTTAGCGCCACTGTGATTGTGAAGAATCAAGGGCACAGTCAATCTCCTGCCGCCCCGCAACAGGAACCTAAGAAAAACTCAAACAGTCGAAAGGATAAAGGACCCTAGGCCCATAAATCTGACTTAAACAAGATAACGAAGGGCACAGTCAAGGGTGCCGTAAATTTAATGTTTTCATTGAAATATTTTACATAGGGAGGGGTTCAAGTGAATATACCATGGGATTTCTATACATCTTGCCTTCAACTCTGTTCTCGACTAAGGAGTATGTTATACAAAGTTTTGAAAGTGTTGTTGAAACTGTCAAAGTATATAAAATTTTGTAAAATTAAGAGTCAACTACGCTTGCACTTGATTTCATTGGGAGCGTTTTGTTGTCACGAGTTTTATTCATTCACATCAAAAGTTACTCGCTATCGATCAAACAACATCGATAAGAGTCAACTACGCTTGCACTTGATTTCATTAGGAGCGTTTTGTTGTCACGAGTTTTATTCATTCACATCAAAAGTTACTCGCTATCGATCAAACAACATCGAGCAGAGAGACCTACTGTTTGAATTTCAAATGAATCGAGTTCTGGTCTTACAATACCAAATACATCTTTTGTCAAGTCAAATCCAAAGTCAACCTATTCCAATTGTTCTTCTATTTTTTTCTATTGAAATTATCACGTGAAAACCTCCACTTCTCAAAATTAGGAAGCAATTTCAATTGTTATAAGCGGTAGTAACCATGTTCATAGTTGCACAAACTGAAATAGTTCTTCTATTTTTTTCTATTGAAATTATTACGTGAAAACCTCCACTTCTCAAAATTAGGAAGCAATTTCAATTGTTATAAGCGGTAGTAACCATATTCATAGTTGCACAAACTGAAATATTTCTCGTTTCATAAATCATAACGTCAGTGATGAAGTCATTATAATACTTGCCTATTACTGTTCTGGCCCGAAAAAGTAGAGAGGAGAGTCAGTCCCCGGTCATCGACATAACCTTAGATCAATGACATCTCACGAAAAATTAGCTAAAATGATGCAATTTGGAATAAACCTAATGCCACCAAAACGCACTTGAAAGTGTTTTTAAATTTTTTAACCTTAGATCGTTTGTAAACAATAAATAGTTTGCTTCCACATAATGGATAATTCGTTGGAAATTAAATTGGATTTCAAGACAGTGAAAGCAGATTTATTGAGAGGAATATACGAATGTTCCCAAAGGGGGTTGAACCATTCAGTAAAGTGGTTATCTGAAATAAACTATGCTTTGAAACATGTTAACTTGTCTCCCGAGGAGAAACCAAAATGCCAGGATGATACAGAGGAAGAAATAGAGGCATTTTTACTAGCTAAATCATATTTTGATCTGAAAGAATATGATAGGTGTGCTCACTTTATAAAGGAATGCACTAAAGCGAAACCAAGATTTCTCTATTTTTACTCTAGATATTTGTCTATAGAAAAAAAAAAATTGGACAACATGACTGATACCAATTGTCCCCCGGATCCGACCAAAAATGAAGCATTAGTTCAACTGTGTACAGAATTAAAAATTGACTATTATGATAACAAACTTGACGGCTACTGTTTGTATTTGTATGGGGTGATATTAAAGAAATTAGATTTAATCCAGACTGCAATAGAAGTATTCATAAAGGCAGTAAATGCTGAACCAATATTGTGGAGCACTTGGTTCGAGTTGGGCAAAATTATACCTGACAAAGGTACCATATTTTCAGTCCAGCTGCCAGATCACTGGATGAAATATTTTTTCATAGCGCACACCTATTTAGAACAGCTATGTAATGAAGAATCTCTCCAAATGTATAACACTTTTTATTCTATGGGTTTACAAAATAGCACTTATATTTTAGCTCAAATTGCTTTAGGACATCATAACCGTAGAAGTGAGTATAATTATTTTGAAACACTTATTTTTTTATTTGTGAGTGAAGGCAAGTATTCATTTTGACTCTCGTCAGATTTTTCATTCGACTCAAGTCAAAAAATTGATGTTTTCGGGAACTCACTTTCAGTAATAAAAACTCATAAAATAACACCTTCTCTTGACTGTATGTGTATGTGAAATTAATCCAAAAAAAGCACTGCTTCTAAACACCAGAACTGCAACACTTGTCTTAACGAGCGTTTCACCAATCAGATGATAAGAAAAACTCTATTGATGGTATTGTATAGAATATGATTTCAAAACAGGGTTATTTTGTGGAAATATCTAAAATATGAATAAAAGTTTGCAGCTTTTCGTGAAAAAAAAAATTGTCATTTTATGAGTTTTTAATCACCATAAATGGATTCCTGAAATGGTCGATATTTTGATAGTTTTAACTTTAGTGGCCTTATTTTCGAAAGTAGACTAGAGCACCAAGTTTTAACTTCAGACTGGTGCCCAGCAGGTGAAAATCGTTCAATAAGTTTTTTTCAAAAACCACCCACAGAGAAAATGAATATCTACCTGAAAGTTTTTCTAGTATCTTTCACCACTCATTAGTTCTAACACTGTCCTTGGTCTATAATTATGAGGAATTTTGATTGAATGATTGTGATGGGACAAAATAGTTCAAATCATAGACTAGAGCTTTTTGTTTGTCTGTTTCAATTTTCTCCAAGTTTTTCACGTCCATATATAAAAATTTGCCTAAGTAACCAAAATATTTTGAATACAGCAAACCTCCATCATTAACATTCTTTGATTTGTACAAAACAGGCGCTAAAGTGTTTAAAATCACATCTCGTACATGTTTAGCCTCTAAATTTTGTTGTTTGCTTCTCTCTTCTGGATGATAGCAGTGCATCTTTCTCTCGAATATCATGTGCATTCGTTTACTTACATTTGTTGTGTGCGGAAATAAATACGTCTTCACAGTCTCATCCCCCAAGCACCCCAGACCTTTGATAGCTCCATACATTGTTGTCAGAGGTGATGAGTATTCTCTTAATGGCCTCAGATATATCCTTATAATCCTGCCGGTTATATTATTGAGTTCTGTATTGTATTTTTTACAGATTGTTGCAATGATATAAACAGAAAAATCACGCAATGTCCAATGATTGTCATAATAGTATTTGCTAATCTTTCTTGCTAACGCACAGGATAGTACTGCTGGAATTAGATTATGCAAATTCTCCACCATGTTTAAATGAGGATTACTAAGTAGACATTTCACCATTCGTACAGAGTATATCAGTAGAGTCAAGTCAGGAAACGCATGTTGACTTGAATAGTTTCTTTGATGAAAGTGCAGAGATATGGGAGCAAATACTTGATGTTGTAATCACTTGTAAGGATCTTCAAATTTTCATTTCTTACTTGTTCATTGTAACCAAATATTCCCTCAGTAATATTTATGAAGAATATTTGTTGTTCTGCTGAGAGAGGATGTTCATCGGGAAATAGCTTGAGGAAAATAGTATCTGGCTTCGGAGAAAACTTCTCAAATAAATCATTCATAGATTTCTCAATGCTCATTTCATGGTTATTTTCCATTATATCTGTAGATTCATTCGAAATTTTCATTCTTGAATATATTTCATCATTTTTTACTTTCGATTCATCTATCATATTCAAAATGTGGTTCAGTGAAATTTGTTTAAACAAACCTAGCAATGAGAAACAGAAGACAGTCAGTCTATCAATGGGAAATGGCTTTAAATATGCATTTATACAGAGTGGTTTTTGTTTTCGGGGTATTTGTAAAAATTAGTGTAATATGGGAATTATAGAGATTCTTTCTTTATAACATGCCAATATTGTTATTTTTGGTTTCATTTCAAGAAAATAATTCATAAAGACATATGCCCTAAAGTTTCCAACTTTTCTACTACAGGAAACTAAATTTTCAAGAAAAAATTCTCTCTTTATATAATTTTGCTTCGACTATAGATATTTTTGTGAAAGGCAGTACACATTTCCTGTGCATCAAGAGACCCCTTCCATAGGCCTTACTTGTGCAATTGGCAATATATTGTGTTTGTTCTTCTATGCTATCTCTCCAGAAAGATGCGGAGAGCAGATAGATCTAGAAATATTTCTATGGCCACTATGCTATTGCTCCATACATGATCATTAGTCTGAAAAATCATCACCCAACAGAATATTCTTCGACATATCTATAGAGACAGTCTGGCTTTCTATAAAACCTTTTCCAGATGATTTTGTCAATACATTTCACCTACACTGCAAGAGGAATAACCTCTCCATTAAAGAAAAGTCCCCTATAACAGTTTTGTTTAAGTTTTCAGACATCTGCTCTCTTTGGCGAACTTTGTAAATTCCTAATAGTAAGATGGGCTGAAGTATCAGAATAAAAATCTCTTGATAACATTCTTTTTTTTTTCAATATGTTTGTGAAATGTTTGAAACTTATTTTTATGATTTGAATTGTTATTTCTAGACTTGAATGAAGCCATCGAAATGTTTAGAAAAATATTGGAATTGGACCCCTTCCGACTGGATAACTTGGATACGTATTCTAATCTGCTATATGTGCAGGAGATGAAGAAGGATCTTGCCGATTTAGCTCACAAAGTTGTAAATATTGACAAATATCGTGTGGAGACTTGTTGTGTTATAGGTAATTTAGCGTTATTTGATCATATAGAAATTAATCACCGAACATAATCCACAACACATTTTTATTCACTGTGAAATAAATAGTACACATGAGTTGCCCACCAATCGAAAATTTCAGAGCATGTTCTATTACTGGAGTTTTTTCCTCTTGAAGATGATCACTAGGTGATCGAAACACGTGTGGAGGTGTTAAAATAACATTTTGGTGTTAGGAAAATACTCCAGTAATATTCATTACTACACCAAAGGTTCCAAACAGTGCATCACATGTTCTATTGATATTATGAACAAAAAAAAGAACAATTTCTGTTTTTTGTTTTTATGAATATCTATCTGGTTTAGTATCATATTTCAAATTAGATATTTTGTATTCTCTGAACCACTGTCGACATATTTTTCATGATCCTGATTTCATTGACTCAAAGAACATTTCTAGATGATTGGGCCATCATAAAGGTTACATTAGATCAAGTTAAAAAAAAAAACAAAATTTGAACAAATTATTGTTGTTTTTCCCTGGAAAGAAATATGTTTTTCATTACTTAGCAGAAAAGTCTAAAATAATTTTTTCTCAGGACATAATAAAGTAAGTTTTTAATAATTCAGAAGAGTAGACTAAGTTGCAATTTATGTGCAAGAATTGATAAAGCATGTTAATGGCAAGGATAGATAAAGTTCTTTCTCAACCAAAACTCAATAGTAAAATAATTTTTTTTTATAAAACACCAAATCACATTCTATAGGTTAACAATTTGCTATTTACATTACCGGAAATATCAATTGTGGAAAGAGAACGGAATGCTTCTTGCAATATTTTGACAGTTGACACCGATTTTTATGAACTAGTGATAGTTGTATCACCTTGTTTTTCGTTTAGCAACCGAGTCTTCGATATAGGATTCAGCAACCGAAGATGACTTCCACCCTTCTGCTTTTATAACTCATTAAATCAGCACTACGATTAGGAATATTGTAGCTGCAGAACGAAAAAAATAATGTCCTGTGTATTATCCGGATTTAGGTGTTTCAAGGAATCTGCAATATTTCTAGGAACCTTGTATATAGATTTAATTCTGATAGGTTTTAACAGTGCAGAAATAACATTTTAGCAATAAATAAATCCCATTGCAACCCACTAACAAACCATGGCAGACCATTTCTAAACAATTTAGAGGTAGCAAAGTAAATCTGTTTGAAACACTTTTTCCCTCAAAAGAACAAAATACGTTTCGCTAACCATGTTTGAACATAGTATTCTCCTGATTATACTGACTTGGTTAGCAAACTAGTGTCACGAGACAGTATTTTGTTTCGTTGTGGGAAAAATATACAATACAATAAATACAAGGCAAAACGTGCCTTGTAGAGAAAATTTACTTGACGATAAAATGCTTCATAATATTGTATAGCAAATAACTATTGAAAATATTTTCAGGAAATTACTACAGTTTAAGATCGGATCATGCCAAAGCTGTATTATATTTTCGGCGAGCCCTAAAATTGAATCCACAGTTCTTGTCAGCATGGACTTTAATGGGTCACGAATTTATGGAAATGAAAAATAGTAATGCTGCAATTCAAAGTTATAGACATGCAATTGGTGAGTGGTAGAAGATGCTGATATCAAAATTTGATAATTACTCACTGTAGATATAGTAGCAACAGATCTAAACTTAGGACTTCCTTCCTTAATTTCGAATTGTTATCTCACTATATCCCACATTTTTGCAGAGATTAATGCTAGAGACTACAGAGCTTGGTATGGACTTGGGCAAACGTATGAAATTTTGAAAATGCCCAATTACTGTTTGCACTATTACAAAGAGGCCCAACAGTTGAAACCAAATGACAGTCGAATGGTCATAGCTTTAGGTGAAACATATGAAAAACTAGAGAAGAGTGAAAATGCCTTGAAGTGTTATTACAAAGCATGTAATTTGGGTGACGTTGAGGGAACTGCTTTGCTTAAATTAGCCAAGTAAGAGTTCATTTTATTTATCTAAAATAAAGAAGAAAGTAAGAAGTTAATCAAAAACGATAACCATAGATACAAAGAATAATTAGAATTTCATAAACTACACCTCACGATTTGATCTCCACAAACTTTATTTGAAAAATATATCACAACATGTTTCGCTAACATAGTAGCTTTATCAACAGTGATTTGAATAGTAAGTGATGTATTTTTCAAATAAAGTTTGTGGAGATCAAATCGTGAGGTGCAGTTTATGAAATTACTATGGAACTTCATCAAGTAACGGCAATCAGAAAAAAAAAATGATTAGAATAACAAATTACAGTGAAGATTCAAATAAAAATCATCAAGAAACAGAATTATATTCATATTCACATATTGAAAATACTGCTACTGAATTATATTTCTTTGACCTGTATGAACTATAAATTCTCCATAAATATCAAAACCATGGGCTGAGAATATTTTATAAAATGTAACCGATATGCACTTACAGGTTATATACTATCTTGTTTGAAGTAGGTATCATTAGAAAATTGATTATACTACCTAACAATGATTTCTTTTAGGTACAACCGCTATTGCCTAAATGTATCACTCTTTCAAATTTTTAGGTTATATGATAAATTGAATGAAACTGAGAATGCAGCGGCCGCCTTTACTGAATACTGTTTGAGAGAAGAGGACAGGGAGGTGAGGTGTGTCGAAGAACAAGCAGAATTCTACAATGCGCTTCATTATCTATCAAATTACCATCTCAAGAAGGGAGAACTTGATGATGCTTATACATATGCTTACAAGTGCATGGAATGTGAAGAGGTAAACATTATATTTTCAAATTTTCTAACTCCAGTTGAAAAAGCACACGAGAAAGTTTTAGATTGTCACCACAGTGTATGGAAGTAGCTTTAAAATAACTAACAAATAGATAGAAAGAGGTGAAACAATAAATCTTCCTTTTTGTATTCACCACTTTTGTAATACTTTGGAAAATTTTTTTTCCTCATCCTAATTTTTGGTTATTACCAAAAATCTTCTGTTTGAAGAATGTTTGTGACTAATATTTTTAAATGAAGAAAAGATAAATGAAACTTTATGTTTTTTACCACTTTTATTTGTAACTAACGTTACTGCAGTTTCGTCCTATACGGACATTTTCAAACTTATACAATAAACTGTTTATTGTATACTGCAGTAACATTAGTTACAAATGAAAGTGGTAAAAAACATACAAAGTTTCATTTATCTTTTCTTCATTATGATTTCCTACCACGTAATAACGGCTACATCCATCAATTTATTAATATTTGGCACTTTCAGTTGGCAGATCTCAGGGAAAAAACATACAGAAAATCATATTCTCCTAATGTTAATGTATTGAAAATAACAACATGGCATGGAATTACAAATTTGTCATAGTTCTTGCATCTGTTTGATTTTGAACATTTGAACTATTAATGAAATGCAGAAGTTGCAGTTGTAGCAGATTTAGAATTGAACACAAATCCATCCTCATTTAATTAGGTCATCCTCAAGGTTACTAAATAATAAAAAATATCTGATTGTTAGTCTGTTATGATCATTCTTAGGACTTAACATCACCAAAATCGTACCTGGAATCATCATATTAACGAAATTTGCAAACAAAATATCTTCATGTCCTACTGCCTCTATGACTCAATAAAATTGTATAAAATCTCTTGGTACTCATGTATTATCAGACATAATTTCATTCTACAAACAAATATTTGCTTCATTCAATGAAAACGAGTATAATTAATACAAGAAATTCAACTTTACTGGAAATCCCAATTTACAGGCTTACCAGGTCTGAATCAAGTCCCTTTCATATGGATATCAAGTTATCAAATAAAGTGTCGACTTATATGTATGTTAAAAATGTTTAAAATATGTTTTTTCCGTTAACCAGCTATCGCACCCCTACGAACGACAACCCTCAGAAGTCGAAACTTGTGCGATCAGTTGATTTTTATATTGAATTTGGGGTATGATTTCAATCATTCTTTTATTTGATCCATTTACTCAACTGTTTATATATGTTTTAATGTATTTAGTTTTTTTTTGTAATATAATGAATAGAACAACAAACTATTAAAATCAAGTTGAAAAATTAACATTTCAACAGTTAAAAATTATGCAAAACACCCGCAGTTTATATCCATTGATAGATGGAACTATATTTATTGCCAGAAGATTGTGAACATCTTGTTAAATATTATAGAGATCCATAGAATCTCCGGTGTTTGAAATTACCGATTCCCTTTGGCTGTGTCAAAAACCTCTCGACACGAAATTGACCCAACTTTATAAACATGTCAATAGATGGTGCAAGAATCGAAATCTCTCGCGTGATTTTTGTTCAGATCTTTAATTTATGGGCCATAATGTAAAAAATCTTTTGCTCAACATTAATTTAATCCCAAATGTGAATAATATCGAAGATTGAAGTACCAACTCAACACTTTCAAGCAGTGCCACTCGAAGCGTGCTTGGTACCTCTATGAATGGAAGGTTGAAATTTATAGGAACTCTGTTAAAAATACATCTGATTTTTAAAATCACTGCCCTCACAATGGAATACAAATGATTTGAACAGAAATGTTTGGTCCTCAATTCAAGAAAGAAAGTATATTCAAAAAATGAATTAAAAAATTCCAAAGCCCGAAAAATGAGTGGATTTGATTATTTGAAAAGACATATCCATGTAATAGGTGAATAACTACCATTTTAACACTTTTTACAATTTCATTTATGATGCATTCTTAATTTTTTTCAGACTAAAGAACAAGGAAAAGCTTTACTCAAAACCATTGCTGCAAGGAGGGCGGAGCAAGAATCTGTGCCAATAAGGTTAAGTGAAGCTGGCACGAGCAACATGGATATGGTTTTTTCGCCAAATGTTTTGTGATATTCATAAATAAAAATATTTAAAATTGTAATTTTTTTCAGTAGGAACTTTCATAAATAAATTATTTGAAACAGATATGCATGTACAAAGAGACTGCTGGAATGAAAAAATTCTATAGTTAAATGACAAAGTACCTATTTTGATTTTGAATGTTACTGTATGTCGAGATCTTTCATATTAATAGGTATATAAATTTGCACATCTTTGATTTCCATCATTCGACCTATTATTGAGTTCCAGAAGTTGCAGTTTTAGCCAATTTAAAAACTAACGCAATTTTTTGTTTTGACTTTTACTTAGAGATCGCCCTATTTGAGGCTTACGGCCTCTTAAAAATATATATTTCATGGACATAGTCCACATTTCTGGAACATTTCAGAGGCACCCTTATTCGTCAGCGATTTCAAAATTTTTGAAAGAAGTAATTTTAAAAACAAATGTATTTTTGAATTATCTATGACATTAAATTGAATTTTTTTTTGTACGTTGGGAGCTGTCTGACTTGTCCATTTAGTCCATGTCTCCAGAAAACACTGCAGCCTCTTGGGCTTATTGCGTTTATTCTCCCATCTTCTCATGACACCCATCCATCAGTCTCGTTCCCTGTACTAGTTTGTACACGTTTCGTGTTGGATGTTCGTCATATTCTTCTAGACGTAATTTCGTACATCCATATATTTCCTGCCTCCTGTGATTCAGTGCCTCACATTCGCATAAGATGTGTAGAGCTGTTTTCTATCCCTTCGTTGCATAATCTGCAGCTGAGGTCTCGGTTGTACAGCCCCATTTTATTCAGGTGCCTTCTAAGCGGACAATGACCGGTTAGTAACCCTGTAATTATTCTAAGCCAATCCCTACTATATTGAAGTAGTTCTTCGGTTCTTTTCTCGGACGGTTCCCTAATGAAGGTTCTACTGTGTTTGTTGCCAGGTACTTTTGTCCAGTACTCTGTGTGCTACTTATTGGTCCATGTCCTAATATGGTTTCGTACCAATGATTTTGGTACCCCCAAAGATGGTTCAGGACCTATATATGAAGTTGATGATCCGCGTCTAGCGCACTCATCAGCTTTATCATTACCTGTGATTCCTGAATGCCCTGGCAACCAGTACAAAGTTAATTTGTTCCTGTTTGCAAGTTCCTTCAGTTCTTCATGGCACTCCCAGACCAGTTTTGATGTCACCTTCGGGTTTGTCAGAGCCCCTAGTGCGCTCTTGCTGTCTGTTAAAATATTGATCCGCTCAGTTCTTTGAGGTCTCAATTTAATAAGCCTTTCACACTGCAAGATACCATACACTTCCGCCTGAAAGACGGATGTTTATTGTCCTAGCGGATAGCTGTATTTTTGTTTTCTATCCGCTCAGTATGTCCATGTTTTGTCCGTTCCATTTTTTTGTCTTCGATCCATCTGCATACCAGGTATCTTTTCCAAACATGTTTTCGGGATGACTAATGATCTTCCACTCTTCACGGCTTATGATTTTGGCCCCGAAGTTTGTGTTAAAGGTGTACTTCGGTGTCATGTGGTCCGTGCACATATTCAATATGTGCTCCTCTACTTGTTCCGAATTTTCTATTCGGTTCAATCTTTTGTAGTTCGGTGAGTTTTCCAGTCTGAATTGGCCCATCCTGGCCTCCCCTATTATCACAAAGTGTAAAGGAGTGTCTCCAATGCAGCTGTTGGGATAGTTCTCATTGCTCCCGTCATACCCAAATATGCAAGTCTTTGCACCTTGCCTAGTTTGTTGATGGCGGTCGCCTGCTTCATCTTTGGCCACCAGACCAGAGATGCGTATGTTATCATGGCTTTAACCTCCATCATATATAGCCAATATACCATGTCTGGTTTTAGCCCCCATGTTTTTCCATAGGTGCGTCTGGCGAGCATCAATGCTATCTGCGCTTTCCTCTTTATCCTGTCCAAGTGTTGGTTCCAGGTCTGTTTGGAATCTAGGATTACTCTCAGATATTTAACCTCCCCCGACACTTGTATTTCTTCACCTCAAAGTTTTAGAGGTCCGAGACCCTCCGTTTTAGTCCTCTTGGTGAATGCTACTATGGTCGATTTGGATGGGCTTATGTTAAGCCCTTCTTCTTCGGTCCATCTTGTTATAATGTTCAGGGCCTGCTGCATGCATCCCTTCACTACATTATTGTATTTACCCTGGACTAAGATGACGAAGTCGTCTGCATAGCACAGTGCTTTATACCCATTATGTTACAAGAGACATAGTAGCTCGTCCATTACAAGCTTCCATAACAGAGGGGATAGAACCCCCTCCGAGGACAGCCCCTTGCCACCACTGTTTCCCCTTACTGATTATCAGAATGACCTAGAACATTTCATAGTGATTTTGGGAAATGAAGGTTTTCAGCTTTCTAGCTGAATCCATCTTGTGATAGAATACTCCGACACCAACAGAAAGCAATTAGAATATTAGACAATGTCGACTACAGAGATGAATGTCGAAATTCATTCATTACATTAAAAATACTAACCTTTCCTTCTCTATATATCATGGAAAATTTAATATATNTGAACTGAAGTCTACTGAAGAAAAAAATACTTTCTCTCAGCAACTATGTTCATATGAATATCGAAATATAAAAAAAGTAAAAGTGGAACCGTTGATCCAAAAGCTTTTTCCAATCACCAGAACTTCAACTCTTTTTGACAAATGTTTCACCAACCAAGTTGCCGCCTTCAGAAGATAAAGTTTCTTTCATCTCCAATTGACATTCTTATGAATCAGTCTGTGCTTGCAGGAACTTTCACGAAAAAATTTCTATCCGAAATGATTGATGTGTATCGGAATGTGTACCGACGAAATATTACCATTTCAGAAAATAAACCTCAGCTATCATCATCTTCTAAACCAATTCCACAAAAAAAAGACATCATGTGTACAAATTTATTGAAACATAATTTTTTAAATTAAAACTACACTTTGTTATTTAAATATAATAACTGTGCCTAATTCACAGACACAGCAAAACTATACATTTGGCAATAATGCAAAAGTTAGCAATTCAACCTAATTGTTCGTTGCGATACCTTATCACTATACACTTGTGTCCATTGCACGTATCAGTCGAAGGCCTTTGAAAAAAATTCACTCCTTGAAGTAAACAAAAGAGTACTCGTCAAAATCGCCCCATTTACCTACCAAAACAAAAACTAAAACACAATTTGAGAAAAACCTTTGGAATCTTCAAAAAATAAATTATACAGCAATATAATTAAATGTAAGACACCTCAACCCAGTAGGTGGGGGTGCAATATGTAAATTACAATATCAGATGATTCGATCGTGGATTATTTTTCTTACTAGTCAATCTTGACATTCTATCGAATGTCAGTTCAACCAAAGTTCTCTTATTTACGATAAATAGAATGAGTGTTGTCCCTCAGAGGCTGCTATTCGCAATTTCTCTCTCATCACTTCAATGCTGGAATATTCTGGTAGTTTGAGGTAGTTGACACAAGTCATCACAGATGGAAGGTAGTCGTCGGGGTTCATATTTGCCTCTAATGTCTTTCTCACGACAGTAAGAGGGGGAGACAGTGATTTGAAACCTGAAACAACAAAAATTTCAAATATTGAACCATACATTTATCCAGTATAATTCACATTATAATATAATAGAATTTCGTACATTCAAAACTTAATAAGATTGTATCATCGGTATAAAGTTCAGTTTCAAATGTTATATTGAGATTATATAAATAAAAAAAAAGTTATGGTTTCAATATAGATCCTTGGGGCACACTATCAGAATCAGAATCATTTTATTCGTCACAAAAGAATACACATTGTGTGGTGAAAACTACAGAATATGTAAACCTGACAATGCTTTTGATGATATCCCATATATCTGATGAAGCTCACTTGAAGACTATATCTTCCCAATCAGATGGATATAACGGATAATATACAAAATACCAAGTCAATATTCTGTTGAGAAGTGAACAAAGACAACTATAAAGTTGAAGAAAATTAAATTAATTTAGTGGAAACCATCAGGAATAACCTCCAAAATTATGAAAAAGATGGAAACAGAATATAAAATGAAAAAACTTACCTTCTCGCAGAGATTCCATTTGTCGAGAAACCCCTTCATGTAAAATCCAGTGGGACATAAGTTTAACATACAAATGTAAATTGTGGATTGTCAGGTGTGTTGATCTTCCATTCTTCATGAGATCGATGTTATGGCCGGGAATAATAAAATCTAGGCCAAGGTCCTCAATAGGGCATCCATCAAATTCCAATTTTTCCACCTGAATCAAAACGACAATAATTTTACTCAATTTTCAGTATGATTCATATTATAAACTGTTGAAGTTTCCATAAGAAAATTGATTGAATTTTTTTCTTTAAATGTTAATCATGGTGTAGCTTTGCCACTATACTCAAAAAGGCAAAGTTGTCCCAAGATTAATTTATTTGGGAGGGGCGTATCAGCAACTTCTTCAAAAATATTCAAAAGCCACTTTCTTTACCCTCCAAAAAAAAAACAGTATAACCTCCAAATGCGACTTGTGTTTCAAAACAATAATGCCAAACTATGTATCTTGAACTATTACTTTATTTATCCCAAGAAACAAATATGTTTATATTAAGGACTTCAACAGAAGAGAAAACAAAAAACAGAACTTAGCATACAACAAAATATCTTAAAAAAATAAACAGTGTCAAAAATAATTAGTGACAAAATATGTTCATGATTTTTTTTCAATTTATTTTCAAACTTCTTTAGGGAGTTTGTATTGCATACATTCAAAGCATAATAAGATTGTATCATCAGCATAAAGTTTGACCCGTCCCTTCAGTTTCAAATTTTATATAGAGATTAGGTAAATTAAAAAAAAGTGATGGACCTATTATAGATCTTTGGGGCACACTATCAACTGTTGTTTTGAATGGGTAAATCGATATGGTGAAAATATTCTGAATATTGAACAGATTTTGGGTGCTACTAGATCAAAAATTAATGATCAATTTATTTTGGAGGGGTGTATCAGCAACTTTTTCAAAAAATTTTAAAGCCGCTTTTTTCACCCTCTGATAAAAACAACATCATAACCTGACAATGCTTTTGATAATATCCCATATATCTGATGAAGCTCACTATATCTTCCCAATCAGATGGATATAACGGGTAATATACAAAATACCAAGTCAATGAATCAATGGAAATTTAGAAAACCTATTCTTCAGAAAAATTTGTTTCCATTTTTGATAAATCTAGATCAACAAATTATCTCACATTAATTTTGAATAAGCTATTAGTTTTTGGTCGTCTTTTATTTTTTTTATTTCAGCTTTCATGAAGTAATTTGCAGGAAATTTATGATTGTCAGTAATATTTCATTAGCTCATTTTAATGCCCTAACCAAAAAAATATTGAGAATATTCATGAGAGTCGACATTGGTGACGACAGTAGTAAATATATTTTATTGAAATGAATTTTTAGAAGCTAGAGATCAAATATCAAGAGAAATCATTCTTTGACAGTATTTTAAATATATATTTGTACAAGTAAGACAAACATGGTTGATAACAAAAAAAATATTGGATTTTGGTTAGGTGAAATGTGACTTTCAACATAATCATTTTGTATCGAAAGTTCAACTACTTTTGCAAATAAACATATTTCTAAAACTGTTTGGCATAATAGAACTGCTATTTCACAAAAATAAAAATGAACATGTGACATACCTCGGCGTTTTTATCTTCATCGCTCATGTCAGGATCCACAAGAATTTCATCTCGTTGCTTTACCAATAATTGCATCTTTCGAAGAGTCTTGTAGATTTCCGGACTGACGTATTTGAGATCTGCCAGTGTTAAGCAATGTTCCTGCCCTAACAGCCAGCGGTAGAACGTCAATGAGAATGGGAGATCCAACTGAAGATAAAAAATTACTCAGTTCAATTAAATAGGAATATTTTCCATTTACTCATGATGTTAGGAAATATTTATATAAGAAACAGTTACCATTCTCGAATCCATCACAGCTTTAGCCATGAACTTCCCCAAAAATCTAAACTTGCTCTTGACCTTGGTGAGCTGGCCCACTTTTGCTCCTCTTGACAAAGGAATCGGGAACAAACCGGTAGGACTATGTACAAACTCGTTATCGCTGGTGTTATGTGCATTCCACAACTCTAGATTCGACCGTTGCATTTCTTTAGATACCAAAGCGTAAAACTCCAAAGTCGGTCCGAGACCGGTACCGACTTCGTTTTCATATTGCACTTCCAATAGAGCTTTCGAGGATGCCATGTCCTGCATCACCTGCTCTGCCTGCTTTAGTATCTCTTCTCGTGATATGGTACGTTTCCTTCGATCCAGTCTTGGTGTAACACGTTCTTGAGAATCACTCGAGCCCAGTTCTGGAGACATGTCGAGCAACCTAAAAAAAAAGGTGTTTATATTTTTGTATAAAACTTTAATTGACAAAATGGTTAAGGCTTTCGCCGTCGAGGTTTTCAGTGTCACTAATTTTTTGAGTTCAAAGGCTGTGGATTTTTGGAATTTCTTTCAGACGATTCGCTGGCGCAAGTGGCTAGCTTCTTCAGAGCTTCGGATAGCAAACCAGGATGTATAAACCTCTGAAGGAGCTAGCCACTAGCGCCAGCGAAACGTTAGGAAGAAATTCAAAAATTCACGTCCTTGGAACCCAGAAAATAGTGACACTGAAAACTTTTATTAATCTTCAAGATTAAACAAGAAAGTGGTTGCTGGTTATCTAAGTGATTCTAGATAACCAGAAAAATGCCACGTAAAATTATACATTAATATTTCCAAATGAAATTGTAATTCCAAAATGTTTCTTTTTTGTTTTTTGCAATTCAACACACAGCATCTGTTCGAAAACCCAATTCACTGTAGTATATTTCATACTTGAGTGTTAGCATGTAAAGTTGCCTTACTACTATCGCAAAATTTTTTTTAAACAATTTAATGCAAACACCATTCTCAAACCATTCAATACAGTAACTGTATCGGACTATTCTGCCCTACTCGTTACTTGAAAAAACCCATTTTGTTCGGCACCAAGATATTTTCAAAATAATTTATACTATACCCTCAGCTTCCTCTACTACAGTGTTTTAAATAAGATGATGTCATTATTATAGGATGCCATTAAAGATGACAAATGCTGGAGAAATTTCAACCTATCACTTGTATACACCATAGTGTTGGGCCTAAAATGATTCTTCCAACATCTCTACGATGACAGTCTGCATGCTAGAAGTATTATTTGCTGAGGAGGGTTAGAAACATAAAAAGTGAACCAGTCCAGTAGGAGCCTCACCAGTTTTTGCCTCCAAGACTATTTTCACGGTTTGTTCATGGTCTGTTTTTATGTCTGACATTTCATGGCAGTAGACATTATCAAAGATGATGAGACAACAGACAAAGTGCTCGGGTTGTTCTCACAGCAGATACTACTCACGTTTGAATCTGTTTTTGTTCAATTCCGTAGGCGTGGCTTTGTTTCTATTGGTCGAATTGAATGATCTTATTTTATGAGTGTAGTTTATTGCAGGTAGCCGAACTTTATCATGTTAATACCCTTTTTTTGCGATTGAAATTGTTTTTGAATTTCTATCATCTCCCTATATAGTGATGGATGAAAGCTAAGTTCAATCGAACACTTGGGTCTCTTCAAATGATATAAAGTTCTATCAAACACTTTGGTCTCTTCAAATGTGATAATGTGGGTACCTTTTCTGTCTGGGACATACAAGGCATTAGGAGCAAAATGAGTTATTACAGTGGAATCTCACTAATCCGGCACTTCAATAGACAGATACGTCCAATATTCCGGCACCCTACGCCCGCGACTATCTCGCCCTTCTACGCCTATGTGCTTCGTCGCCGCGTCATCGTTAAGCAGCCTAACCTCAAAACTCATGTGTTGTTTTGAAGTGAGATTGGTGTGTCGTTGAAAATGTTGAGTAAACGGAAGCACAAGACACTATTCATTTATTATGATTTTGGCTCTATAATCCAGTAATCCGAACCTTCCAATAATCTGGCACCCTCTTGTTTTTAATAGTACCGGATTATTAAGATTCTACTGTATAGAAACATATGTTTATCTTTGGCGAGGATCCTTAAAAAAGCAATTGGAATTGAAAACAACTAATTTCACTCACCTCTGTAAGGCACGATCTCTGTCAAATGATGTAGCATAGAAAAGAAGTTGGCGAGTCTCGAACGGGAACAGGAAAGGACACGACATAGCGATCTGCTGCAACCAATTCGGAAGATTGCCTGTCATGATGACTAGAGGATCTTGAAGCTGTCTGCTTGCCTTGGCGGCTATTTTACTGTTAAGGAAATCTGAAGGAGGTAAAATGGGTTGGTATTCTATGGCGGGGTACAAATGGCTCCAGTATACGTTTAGGGAGTTTAAGATTCTTAGAAGGCACAATACTTCTAGAGAAGCATCTTTTATGGTAACTGTTTCGGGGAGTTTGGTCATCAGGAAGGGAGTTAGAGGAGATTGCGGAGGTGGAGTAATTCCTTCTGAAATAAAAATAAATTATCAGTATGGGAATTTTCAAAGATTATTGCAATTAAATTTTAGTCAATGTATAAGCCATAAAATCAAAGTGGGTAAATAAGTATTTTAAATTATTTTAAGGACATTATGCTTAAAGATGCACCGACAGGGTCTAAAGGGTTTGCAAATCCATCTGGGTGGATTACAGAAGAAATATTTGTAGAGTCTCTAAAGAATTTTGTTAACCATGTTAAACCCACGAGGGAAGATAAAGCTTTGATTATTATAGAAAAATAATATAATCATTTTAACACTCCCTCCCCACTGCAGTCACCGTATGCAACCACTTGATGTGGCAGTTTACGTCCCTTTTTAGGCAAGGTACAAAGTGGCATTAAATAATTGGCTTGTCTCAAATCCTGGCAAAACCGTTATTCCATACGAAGTTGCAGGATTTGTTAATGTTGCATATAGTGAATCTTTTTCAATAAACAATATTTGAAAAAGCTTTCTGAAAACAGGAATATATCCACTAAATTCATCAATATTTACTGAAGACGACTTTCTGGCATCATCTGTAACCGACAGACAAAATCCTTGCAACAAAGAAATCCAAGAACAAGACGTTCAAGATAAGAAGTCCAATGATTTATCTGAAGATGGAGGATTGGACATAGTTTCTCAGTCAACTTCTAACTTGAACACTTCAAATTCCTGTGAGCAGACCGTCAAGTTTAACAGCACCTCTTTGGAATTTATCCCCTCAACTAGCTCTGACCATTCAAGATCTTGCTGTTCTAAAAGTGAGGAGAACTTAAATCGATCAATTACATTACAAGGTCGAGCTGAACTAAATCTAATTTCACCTGAAGTTCTTAGACCCTATCCAAAAGCAATGCCACGGAAATCGGTCCGAAGTAAAAGAAAAAAAGGAAGAAGGGCTGTTATAACTGACACTCCCGAAAAAGATGAACTTATGAGAGAATTTGAGGAAAAGGCGAAGAAACGAAAAACAAATAGAGGCTCTCAAAAAGCAAAAGTATCATCAAAGAAAACTAAAATGAAAACAAAGTTACCAAAATTGCTAAAAATGATTACGATTTTGATACTGATATATCCTCGGAAATATCACTACACGATGAGTCTCCGACACCTGCTAACCTAGAAGAATTTTGTGATGAAATGGTGGAAAAGAATAAAGATGATTCATGTAATCGAGAAGGTGAAAAAAAAAATTCGGTTTGTCCAATCTGTCAAGGTGAATATCAAAACAGCAAAGAAGAATGGCTCCAGTGCAAACTTTGCACGAAATGGGCTCACAATTCTTGTGGAGTTCTGGGAAAGTTAATTTTTTCTGTTACAAATGTTTTTAAATTTTTATACTGTATTGTAATCAGTTAATTATGAAAACCGTATAAAAATCGTCTAGTATCCATTTCATGGAAACAACCGTCCGTGTCATAGAAACCTGTTCATGAATCGGACACTTGGTAAACAATAAGAAAAATAAAATTTTAAACATCTTGACTTATCTTTTCATAACTTTTAAGTGTAGAAATATAAAGCCTGATTTTCTGACGTGTTGATATAGATATTTCAATTCCTATGTCCAGTTCAAGGGAACTGGACATTTTCACCTACCTATTCTGAAATTTCATTTCTATAAAACTGCTGTCAGTTATCTTTTACAGCATAAACTGGATAATTTTTGTGTAAATTCCTGGACACGAAACAATAATCAGTGATACTAGCTGTATCCAAAACCATTATTGATAAATACCTCAGCGGTATTCTTGTATCTCTTGAAATATTCATGAAAAATATACATTATTCATACAATCGATTCAACTTGAGGTAATTTCTGTTCGACAGACCATCTAATGGATTCCTAATGAGGATCAAATTTCATCATAGCAAACATGACGATTTTTCTGTTTTTTGTTTTGGAGAACAATTACACACAGTGTTGTTGCCGAAACGGAAGTGAAGTCTGATGACGTAACTTTGAAATTCTTTTTCACGTTGAGGTATACTATAAGTTCCAACTTATTTTCGAGTCAATTCTTATTTTCTCTTCATATGACATCATCTTACATAATCACATGTTTTCTGTATGAATGTTTGTAATGCCATTGAAAACTGCACAATCGAACATTTTCTAAAAACACTTCATTGTAAGATTTTCACTAGACAGTTTTACAAAAATGCAACACGTGTTTCGCCATACAAAGGCTTCCAGTTAACTAACAGTTAGTGAAGACACGCCCGAGGAAGCCATTGTATGGCGAAACACGTGTTGCGTGTTGAAATATGCCCTCCATTGAATTTTCAAAGTGATCCGTTGTCTGGTTCACCAGAAACGTCTAATGTGCCATCCACCGTGAATCAGCCTATATATAGAACAGTTCTGGAAAACACCTCCATCTGATACGATTCCATTACAGCCAACATCGATATACGTAAAGCAATAATTGTACTCTGCAATGGCCATAAGTACAATGCTGTTATGACCTTTGTAATTAAAAAACTCGGTTCCACAATGGGGGGGAGCTTGAATTAATATATGTTTGCCGTCGATGGCCCCTGAACAATTAGGAAAATTCCATCTACTTTGAAAACCACGAGCAATTTCTTCCCACTCTTCTCTAAGCTATGGCACCTAGAAACAAATGTTAAAACCATTAACCTAGTTTATGATTAATGGAGTACTCTCCTGCATTTCTTTATTACGGTTTAATCATTATTACATTGTTGTAGTCCAATCTCAAAGTGGAGTGGAAAAAACAACTAAGCAATATCTGATAAAACTTGAAGAGTCTCTTAACCAATTTATTTTTTTAACTAAGTTTAAATAAAATTTGTTTTAAACTAAATTGGTGGAGACAACTTCAAGTTTTATTGGATATTCCCTAATAAATCATTAGTATTTTATTCTAGGAACTAGATCAGCAAAGTCAGGAGGACAATTCTAATGAGACTCAACTACATTATAATGAGGAAACCGCTGAAAGGCCACAGAACACAGAGACAGATAGTAATTCCCAAATAACCAAAAACGAGGTTACTCTGCGAAATACCCCTCAGAGCAGCAAACAACCCATTCCAAGATCTTCCTCAGCTGGAAAAAAAAGGCGTCTGCAAGATTTGTCTGCAGCAGTATCGGAACTTCGCCAACTGACTGAGTCTGTAACACGTGACACTGAGGAAGACGAATTTGACACGTTTGCAAGATATCTGGCACTTAGCCTGAAAAAAATGCCAATTCATTTGGCACTTCAATGCGAAACAGAATTGCAGGCAACATTAAACCGGTATCGCATTATGGCAGTAAGTCCGATAGATGCAATGACTCCTTCTACAAGAAGTTCTTCGTCCAGTCCTTATGCGGTTGAAGGTTCTAATTATACATCTGATATACATCTGATGCTGATGATACGAATTCTTCTTTTCCCCAAACCCCTTCTCCCTATTTATCTTACAATGTGCCATCTTCCAATGAACGTGGCAAGAACCATCAATATTCTTTAAGTACCATTGTTGCAGAGGCCATAAGAGATATTTAAAGTATTTTATTTTTATAGCAACTGTTTAACCACTAGTATGTGTTTTTGAACTTTCGTAAGAACTTAAGAACTTTTGTAAGTGTTGATGATTTAGTTTTGTATTCCATACTATGCAACTATTCTGTATTCCATACTATGTTACTTTAAATAGTATATTTTGGCAATAAAAACAAAAAACAAGTTAAAACCAATTTATACTTACTTTTACAAAATCTTTTAATGCTTCAAAAATTGCATCACAAACTTCTGGTATGAATCTTGATATTGTAGGTTTCGGAACACGAAACAAATGTTGGATGGTTCTATAACTATTTCCCGTAGCTAAAAAATGAAGANAACTTCAACGGTCGTTGCTATCGGAGGGGGTATATGCGTGCAGAACATTCAGGAAAGGCAGAAAAGATTTTCCAGAATTGAAACCTGACAAGGATATGAAACGAGGTGACATTGATTTTCGCGTTTCCAGTGATGGTCTGGCTGCATTGAAGTGGATGGACCGTAGGAGTGTATTGTTACTAGGAAATTACCTAGATCCTTCACTTATAGAAGTAGTAAGGAGGCGACAAAAAGACGGGGCTGTTTTGGATGTTAGATGCCCTCGAATGGTTGTAGAATATAACTCTCATATGGGATTTGTGGATAAATTCGACATGTTGAAAAGTATTTATGAAACAGACCGAAAATCACATAAATGGTGGCATAGGATCTTCTTCTATTTTCTTGACGCATGTGTTGTAAATTCATTCATTCTCTTTCAACAACGCAGTCAATCAAAAAGCCTTACTTTGAAGGAGTTCCGCCTAAATGTAGCAAGAGGTCTTATTGGGGCAGTTGAGCCAAACAAACGCGGAAGACCTTCGAATGAAACGCCTCCCAATAATTTCAAGAGGAATGTCCCTTTGGAAGTAAGACAAAGCAAAGCATGTCATATGCCAAAACGATCCACAAAATTGAGATGTGCTCTTTGCAGTACCAGCCAGAATGTTTCCCGCACCATGTGGAAATGCGCAGCTTGTAAAGTAGGTCTGTGCATAAAACATGACAAAAACTGTTTCACTCAATATCACGCAAAGTAGATTCCATGAAGTTGCTATGTTCCTAGTGGTTACATAGGGTGACCACATCCTGCAGGATAATCCTTATGTTCTTAAACGCAACTTGTAAAGTAGGTCTGTGCATAAAACATGACAAAAACTGTTTCGCTCAATATCACGCAAAGTAGATTCCATGAAGTTGCTATGTTCCTAGTGGTTACATAGGGTGACCACATCCTGCAGGATAATCCTTATGTTCTTAACTCAAACCAAATATTTTGTCACCTTCAATAATCATTAATAAATAGTTATATGAGGATTAATTTCATTTTATTAAGAAAAAAATAAATCCGGCCTCAAAGGGTTAAATATAAATTTGGTGGCAGTGGAATATGTAGAATTTGTTTTTAAAAGCAAAAGGGTAACCCACAGCTGACAAACATGATACACCACCATTTCAGATTATTAATATTTGAAAACACTGGAATTTGAAAAACTAACTAGTTTAAATCTAGTCATAAAAGCTATGTAGTATTATTAACTAGGAACTAAAGTATTGTCAGTGATAATTAACGTGATATAAATGAAAGAAAGAAATTTTAATTCAAAACTGTAGATCGAAGATTTATATCAGATATTTTAAATAGTGAATAGTTTTACAATAAGCTCCCAAATGCTGTTAACAATTTTAATAAAAAACCAAAGTTACAAATTAATTTGAAATAACAATTAGCGTTCTAAAACTGGTTATATAATAAGCTCCTTTTACATCTGAAGAAGATATCATCTAACGAATTCAATATACACTGCAGCAGATAATGTGATTCCTTGTCACTATAATCTATATGCACTTTCGAATCACAGTGGGTCTACCTACAGCGCACATTATACAGCATTCTGCAGACATCCTTATAATGGCACGTGGCACGAATACAATGATTCACAAGTGTCACCAACTTCACCAAAACCGCTTGTGAGTGGAGATGCATACATCCTCTTTTATGAAAAGGAGGAAACGTGTTCGCACCTTTGAGCATTTTGTAAAGTCATTTTTGAACTGTTCATTTTAATGTTATGTATTATCTAGTTAAATGTTTATAATTTATTAGGAAATAATATTCACAAATAAATATACACTTGATTTTCTCTATGCGGATGAATGAAAGTTGATTTTTACTTTGACCTATGGAGATTTTCAAAATTTGATGTATTTCAAATGAAATAAATGAATTTTAAATTGTAATGTACCTTACTATTTAACCTCATCGTAATTATTATTTTTCCTTGATTTTTGAAAAATCTATATTAGTTAATAACACAACAAACAATTATTCACCTATGTATCTATCATGTTTTTGTCTGTAGTGAGATTATTAAAAAAAGTTTCAAACTCACCATTCCATAATTCATCTCCTTTACGCCTAGAAGTACTTTTACCGGAAGACCCTTTTCCTTTTCTACTTGAATGACTCGACGAAGTTCCACTACTACTCTTAGCTGTCGATTCTTCTTTCATTGGCCTGTAGGAAATTACATGTGTTTGGACCCAAATTCCTGCATGACCTTAGAAAGAAAAGTAAAAATGTATCAATCCACAGAAAGGCCTAATATGCTTATTTGAAAAAAAAATCTAGAGTATGATTAGATCGAGGTAAAACTAATTCCGATACTTACCTAAAATGTGAGACTCACCTAATGGAGTTTCGTTATCTGTGTCAGTCTCACTTTGATCGTTCCCGTTGTTGCTAAATTGTCTCACAGCCTGATAAACGGTCATATTGTAAGGCAGCACATTGTTGCCAATGAGAAATTGCAACTTGTGCTTGGTACCTGTTTGCGATATCACAACTCCAGCTAAAGATTCTTCTATGTCAGTGTCCGAATCACCATCATCACTATCAGCACTATTATTGTCCCTGAAATTAATCATTATTATAGATTGTTGTGTGTATGTATAAGGTGTGATATTTATGGTTTTGGAAACCTACCTAAGTCTACCATATCCTCTAACTACTAAGTAACGCTCTATTGCTTGTACGAGGGCTAGAGGGTCGATCTTGACTGTACCACCCTTCCACTGTTTTAGATTTGTGCACTCGGGATGCCTCTGAAGATTGCACTGAAAAAAAAAAAAGATAAAAGATTCTGAACCCTTTACTTTGCATCGTTTTCTATATTCTATTTTCAGTTGGGGTTTCTGAGTGCAGTAACTACAAGCACCTTCTAGCAAGTGCCAAAGTTTTGTGTGAGCATGAAGATTTGAACAAAAAACTTGTTTTTCATTTATATTGAAATCCCTGATTTCGAAAAGTTTGCTTCATGATGAATAAAGGAGGAGTTTACGTAAAAAAAATATGAAACAGAAATTCATTGGAAATAATTTGAGACATAGCCTCATAAAAAAACATTACATACCATGAAGATATCACAGATAATACATTAACATTACAAATGACTATTAATTTAATTTATTTACTAAATAGAAACTTCAAACAATTAAAATTAACTAACCTTTAACTGATGTGTATTGAAGAATTTCAGTGCGCTAGTACCACCTCGACCAGAACCTGAACTAGCCGGAAAGTCGTGAACTTTGACTGGGAACTGTTCCAGCTGCGATACGCACCCATTTAATTTATTAACTAAAGCGCTCATCCATGTAGGATTGAGCTCAGGTATACTGAAAAAAAAAACAATATATTACTAATTTGTTTTTTTTTTTCAAATGAACATTCCAACAAAATTTACTCTGTGTCCAAAACGGCATAAATACCTTGTAACATTTTCATCGAAGGGACAACCTGCAAACACGTTCAGCATTATCCTAAGTCTTTGATCTCTTTCATAGGGTCCATCTTCGTCGGCTAGGTAGGAAAGAAGAGCCGTGATGAGACCGGAATAGTTGACTTCAAACGGAGATATATCCGATTCCATAAGTATTTCTCTTAGTTCCAGTAGAGCTTCTCCGCATTTGGTAGTAGGAAGTTTGTCGATAGCTACTTTGAGGCGGGATATGACGTTTGTGACTGAGTGGGAGTCATCTTCTGAACTTGAGTACGATTCTATGAATTTAGATGCCTGAAAAGTACAAAGAAAGCATAATTCATTTCTTCATCCATACATTATTCAAATATACAACTTTACGAAAATAATTGAATCATAATAAACGGAATGCCTATTTCTGACTCAAACTGCTGCATACCAGTAAACAAATTAGGGTATTATTTACCTGTTCTCTTATCCACGTTCTGGTTTTCTCCCGATTTCCTGCTGTAAGAAGTGAATTGGATGAAGATTTAGATAAATTATTTAAGGAGTCTTTACTGTAATTTCTATCATGTGACGTGTTCATACTTCTTCCCCATCTGGCGGGATTCAAACTTTGAAGAAAACTAGATTTAGAGCTTGAACCTGAGAAGCGTTGTCTTGCAGAATTGCTAAAAAGAAAAAAGACAAATAAATGCAACGTTGATGTAATATTAATATTCTCTATTGCTACACAGTAATAACAATTTCAACATTATGAAAATTTCAAAAATCTAATATATAAAAATGGATGTTGGTTGGTTGGTAAGTGATAAACTTTTACATAGCTCAACCGATCGTGATGAAACTCGACATGTATAAGTATTTCATGGTGGTTTTTTAGGCCTTCAATTTTTCTGTAACTCGCCACTAGATGGCGCTGTAGAACAATTTTTTGAAAGCACTGTTCTATAACGCTGCACACGCCTAAGTTCGTTGATTCTGATTAATTGAAATTTTCGGAGCTTATCTGTCAATTATTTACTAGTTGCCACATTTGGAAAATATTCAGTAACGGGGAGTTATTTCATTCTATTTGGTCATTCAGTAAACTGCTTGAATTCTCAAATCAGTTCATTTATAAACATTCTAAAAGATGTAGTTTCAAACTTTTCTCTTCTAAGTGTAACATATTATAGTCGTGATTGAACTCATGTCCATGCGTTTTTGTAAAACCGTGTAGTGAAAATCTCACAAAGTATCACTTGAATACGTGATGGATTTTTTCATCAAGTATCGGCCAATTCTATCATATAACACAGAACACTGTTAAGTCAAACTAATCGACATTAAACACATTTGACTGGCAATATGTCATGCCCTTAAATTAAGAGACATGCACACTTTCAATGACTTTTGATTAAGCAGAGACATGCACACTTTCAATGACTTTTGATCAAGCAGTTAAATCCTCAAATTATCGAATTCAAAGATAATTGTTGTTGAATTTAATTCAATCAGGTCATAAAACACCTATCCTCTGTATTATTTCAATACTAGCTGGACCAAGCATAGAAGTAAAATATGTCAAAGACTTCTTGAGGGAACACAGTTTCAAATTATCTTAATTCAACACTATTTCTTCAACTCACCTTGGAGTAGAATTTCCAATAGAAGTTGCTTTTGTAAACAAATCCTGCATAAGAGATGGCGATAACGGCATATCCTCTTGCCTAGTTTTTGATCTGCTTGAACCGGACGTTCGTTTTGCGACTCTCTTCCTTTTCAGTACATCGCTGAACTTGACGTGCGAAGGGCTCTGCGACCTCGGATCAGATTCCTGCAAGCGTTGAGCTTCAGGAGTCAACGTGCTCATCGTTGAGGAGACGGGGGTGCTTCCTAAGAGAGCCGCCGAACCATTGGCTGTGTGCACGATAGTGCTGCTAGTCGACTGAGAGGTGCTAGGTTGAGATTCGTTAGCAACGACTGAAAATGATGTGGAGCTGCAGCTCGATTTGGGGGGACTCACTCCTAAAGGTACCTGGAACAAAAAAAAAAAAATTATCGTAATATTACATCATCTCTATTTTATTTATGCATTCATCGGATTTGATATTGCATCAGATTTTTATAATGAAATGAAAAAGGATTCAATGAAAATTTTCGTTATCTGAGAGTTATGTGTTTCAGCTGAAACATTCATGGTTGAAGAACCAATAAGTAAGTTTTAATGAAAATAATTGTATTGTCACAATGCATGGTACCGCAACTGCCAAAAATTTGAATGAACCATAGCATAAGATTCATATTGTTCTCACATATAATAAAAAAAATTGATGTTGCTTATAAAAAGAGCGGTTGGGTACTTTACATGATAGGGATTCAAGTGTAATATTGATGGTCTATTATTGCAAACAAAGTAGCATTATATATTCACAATAATTGACTTTTTATTTTACACGATTAAATTGTCAATTCGATATATCTCTGAAAACACTATACAACTCAGTTAGTTACCTACATTAAAAGATGCAACAAAATAACATATTTAAAAAGTTTACTTGCAAGTTCAACAACAGAAAAACAATGCTCTAATATCTATTGAACAATGGAGTTGCAAAAACAACTACTTAAAATCAATCAAAAAGACAAAACCCACAGTTATAGCTATAGAAAATATATTTTCTAAAAATATTCATTCAGAAACATGTATTCGTGAAATAAATGATCGATTAGTGTTCTACCTTTATTATTTCCAGCAAAAACAACTTCAGCGTTGATGCTATAATTATTGTGTTAAAATCTACTTTTTCGGTAATCAAGTGTCACCTCCTATATGAACGACAACCCTCGAAAGTTGAAACTTAAGCGAGCTGGGTAACGAGGTCTAAACTTTTAACGTGCAATTTCCAGCATTTATAAATATATACTAATTAAAATACAAATAATGTTTTAATAAAAAAGCCATGTGAACCTTAATTTACAAATAAATAAATATACATTTATTATTATTATTAATAAAGCAGTGCTCACATATTGTTTGAATAATACAAATTATCTGTGTCTGATTCAAGATGTTTCTGAATTGAAATAATATAAATATACAATTTTTTTTTAAATCATCAAAATTGAGCTGTTTCTGAGGAAAGAGGCCTGTTTTATGCATTCGTTCATGCCACTATATTATATTATTCATTGGTTCATATAACAGTGCATTTAGCAGTCCAGGTGAAATAGATCATCATATATGTCTACACACTGAAACAATGACTTGAGATTTCTCATAGACAGTTGAAAAATTATCTTCAGAACACTTCTTAGGGTCAATATTATCATTACTTTTTTTGACAGCCTCCTTATAAATGAATATCCTTGGCCCATAATATAACAGAAATTATCATTAGAGATTCTTGTACTCACCTCTGGATCAGCTAGTCTATTTATTTGATGCAACACTCCTTCTCTCCTGAAATGAACTCCAAATTCGTCCGGCAGTTTAGTCATTAATATTTCGGCCATTTGCAGAGCCCCAACTACAATTCGCAGATCGCTAGAAGCCATCATACCTGCTATGTGGCTGCTCACCACCTGATTCTTCAATACATCCCTCAACAATTCTGAATTAGCATAGTAAACCATCCTGAGTAGCGCACGAAGGCATTTAAACCTGAAAACAACAAATTGTTATTTTTATTATTATTATATTTTCTTGGGTGTCATCGGTATCGACTGCTTGGTCATTAGCTCTGGTCTTTAAAGATTTGGCTAACAGATTATTATTAAACCATGGTATCGTTATTATAGGAATGTAGGATTTCATGGCTGGCGTCAATGTTTTGGTTGGTTTCTGGGTTTTGCCATGGTCTTCTTTGGTTACAATCTCCAAACTTTTCATATCAACAGTTGATACGTCAATAATACTTCGACCACGCCACTGAAGATGACTGCCGCAGTTGCAGTTGAAACGTTTAGAGATTGTAAAAAGAAAGTCATGGGAAAACAAGGAAACCAACCAAAACATGGTATCGTTATTTATAATCGGTTACTAGTAATAATAAAAAATACAAAATTCAAAAGAATATTGTGAAATCATTATTAGAAAAGTAAACTGTCTAAAAAAATTAAATTTCTTGTTGTTAAATGTTAAGTATTGTTTTGATTATCTTTTATTTCTATTGAACTCTCCAATATAAACAGGTTTGTTGCTTGCGATAACAAAAGAAATAGTTCAAGTTGATTTAAAATGTAAATTAAATTTTCAAAACGGATTTCCTCCATTAATAAATGAATAAATTATTCACCAACCCATGAAAATTAAAAATAATTTTATTCGATATATTTTCAAGGTCCTAAGCAAAGAATTGGTGGTTGCTAATTAACACAACATCATTACCTTACAGCTGGCCCAGCACTTGAAGAATACACTTCATACAATACAGAAAATAGTGATCTGATAAAAGCAGCTGCCAAACCTCGTTCTTCTCTCAAACATGCTACGCGAGCATCTCGGCTAGCAGATAAAGTTCTTTGGGGAGCTTGAGAAGGTTCGACGGGGCTAGATTGCACACTAGTTGGTGTGAAACGTCTTTGCACAGGCCTGGAAGTACCTAAAAAAAAAAAAGAAATGATCTTACTACAAGTTAGTTTCAGATTAACGTATTCATAATCACTTTCTTTGTAAATATGGAGTATATTCAATACAGAGTATATTATCTCAAAAAAAAGAAGTTACCTGTGTCTTCATTGATTTGTTGCATTGAATGAAAATCTATCGTGTATATCTTTCCCAAACTATTGAGACTAACTTCATCGTCACCATTCATGTGTGCAGCTTCTATTATTCTACTATCTACAGCACTGTATGTGTGCCAAAGGCCACGATCTTCTCTCCATTGCCAAATGGGCTGATCCTTTGCTAAGCTGGATGGGCGTTCCAATAGACTGTCAACGGCAAAGATGCCTTCGGTCGGTAGTTTCGGCATCAATTCTCCAATAAGTGCTGTTATTTCGAATTGTTCTTGGGGTTGTCTGAAATGATTTTTTTGAGTATTTTTGAATAAAGAACAACATTTAATAAATTAGCCCAGAAATAATTAAAAAAATTCAACTTTACAGGAAGCATGTATTTATAAATTAATGAGTTGTGATGAAAATTCAATTTATGCACAAAAACTATCAAATATACATTGTAATTGTCATTTCAGCGTATATTACAACAAACCTTTTCTAAATTCATGTGTTTGAGAACGATTAGTAACCATTTCTCATGCTTATTAAGTAGTTCTATAGTAAAACAAGATAGGTCAGTACCAGACACAAAAAGAATCACAAAATGTTTACTACTCGTTCTCAAACACAGACAAACGGAGTACAGGTTTCCAAAGTAGAGAATTATCTAATAAATATCTGATAACTTTATTGAATGAAATACAGCACTCAAATTTGGAAAATTATAACTCACAGCAATTATACTTCCAAATAACAGAGCTGATTGGCCAATGCAACCTCAAAAAATTACATACTCTTTACTCAAATAATTTGAGAATTTCATAAGCCTAGGAAAGTTAAAATTGATATTATCTGACTCACGGTAATATTTGTGAATTGAAAAAAACTAGGCAGGTACCTTTCAGAAAACTTTTCCATTGAAGGGTCATGTTGTTTTTTGAGTAACTGAATAAATTGAATTCGATTAAGCTTAGTTCTTATTATTATTTCGGAACCCACAATGACATAACACTGACAACAATAAGATACATTATATTTTCATATTAATCAGTGGGATATGCTTGAAGACAGGCAGTAAACAAATCTAAAGAAATCAACTTTAAATGTCCAAGCCCGTCTCGGATATACCTAGACAGTAGGTTGAATGGACTGGCGACTACCAGAAAACAAATACTCCACTCTGATAGGTGTCAGTCCATTCAACCTACAGTGTAGGTATGTCTGAAACTGACTTGAGAATTGACAGTTCATTTCTTTACTGCCTGTCTTCAAGCATAGCCCACTGACTAACAAAAAAGTTTTTCTTGCTCATTCAGAGGAATCGGGCAAATTTCGGATATGCAACTGGTTAGTACCTCGTCCACTAGATGGAGTGACATTTTTGATGTTTGTTCCAACTTAAGACGAGAAATTAAATACTCTGCAAGAATTTCGATTTTTAATTATGGAATATCATTAACTTTAGGTCAATGATGGTCACTATCTTGCACTGATGAGTGGCTAAGGAGCCCGAAACCGGTCTGCAAGTGTGCCCAAAACCGGTCTGCAAGTGTGCCTGTTCCAAAATTGATGTATTGCCAATTGGATATGCAGAAAATTTTCTGTGAAGATTTCTGCACTGACGCCTGTCGGATATAATACAACGCCGTTCGTGGTATTAGTCAGTGGAGTAGTTGTTATCTGATAGGCGTCAGTCCATTCAACCTACTGTGTAGGTATATCCGAGATGGGCTTGAACCAGTGACAGCTCGTGCATTGGAGAACAGGGGAGGCTTAAGTCATATAAACTATATACACACAGAAAAGCCCGCCGGAGGCGCGAAATTTTTTTTTGTTGCACGATTTGCTTAATACTAAAGTTAGGGCATGGGCATGACAATGCGTAAAAAGTGCATGAGGAGCTACGAACTTTATTTTAGTTTGTAAACCATTTAAATGGCCGGCCATGACCGCAGCCCCATCATAGGTTTGCGCAACTAACTTTTGCCCAAAATTATAGGTGTCACACGTACGAATTGAAAAATTAAACAAATCGTCAGCTGTGCGCCCAGATAAAACATCATGAAAACCCATAAAACGTTCTACCACACTACCATCTTTGGCATATCTAAAAACGATTGAAAGTTGTGATGTACAGGTAATATCGGTATTTTCGTCAATTTCCCATGCAAAAAAGAAACACTTTCAATCTCCTTGCTTATATTTTCCTTAATAATGTATGCCACACTGTCTATAATAAGCTCATTTTGGATGGTTTTTGAGGTGCCCGAAAAAACGCTATCGTTTAAAAAAAGTGCCAATTTGTGAATCATATTTGCCCCATAACACGAGGTAAATTTTTTAAATTGGAGTATCTTATTTTAGACCACGTTTGGTATTCAGTTTGTACGGAAAATAAAACACAGGGCCAACAAAAAAGATTTTCTCGTTTAATGGAGCCGGTTAACCAATCGCATTTATCATACCAACTTATATTAAATCCACGATTTTGTCGATTATCTGACGATTTAATTGAAATCAAATTTGGTTGAGGCCTTCCCAGAGTTTTAATAATGTAAAATTCATTATCATAAGATGAAGACTTGAAATTATTTGTCAGCAACCAATCGACTATATCGTCAGATTTTTCAATTTCGTCCAACTCATCCATAATAAATGAAAAAAAGAAAACTTACCGAAAAGTGAAAACCTGAAAACACCTTGAAATTGAAAGAAAATACTTCAAAAATACATTCAAAATATTACCAAAAAGCACTGCTATAATATAAATACTGCCTGTTTTATACACAAATAACAAATATTATCAAGAAACACTAAAACGATTTACCGAAATATTGTTTAGTTCCGGCCCGTCACGGTATCCCGTCCGAATAATTAAATAAAAAACAAACGCATTCGTACACTAACGAAGACCAACTGGAGGCAAGCCTCCCCTGACGCTATAATTTCTGCAACTGAAATTACAAATCGGGACGTATGTCGCTGGTTGGATCGGTCTCGTGGAGCCTGTGTTTTTTAAAGCGGTCAGAGGCTTGGCTCCCTTGCAATGTATGGCATTCATTATTTCGGGTTGATAGTTTATTCGTTCATGGGCGATACGTTTGAGTTTTGTTGATGCAGGATACAGTGTGGTACGTACTATGTAGTGAGTGATAGTGTTTTTTCGGGCATATTATGTATTTATATTAAAAATTAATGGTAAAGTAATGATACCCAAGCATTTTTAGAAAAAAATAATCATAATTATTTGTCAATATCTTTTAATTTATTGCGATGCTAAGCCTCCCTTGCCTCCTCTGACGAGCCGCCGCTGGCTTGAACATTTAAAGTTCATTTCTTTAGATAATATTTTCAGTTGAAATAGTGAAAAAATGTGTGCATCAGTTTACACAATGCATTTAAACTCTATAAACGGCTGCACCTGTTATGCACTTATTAATATATGCTTCAACCTATCCTCAAAATCAACATTTGGATTTTGCACCAGAAAAGAAGCAAAAAAAACTAAACATATTTCTACTGATTCCTACAAAAATGATATGAAATACTTCCCTATAGAAATGAAGTAGAGATTTATATCATATCCAACATATTGAGCACTTTCCTTTGATTGCAAAATGCTCGATAATTCTGTTTTCGGTTTCAATATTTTATTTTTTCAATACACCAGTCATTTCATGATATTCTACCTAAACCCAAGAACCTTACCTCGGTATTAGTTCGACATCATCTTGATTGATCTCCGCGGACCCAGTCAGCAAATAAACCAAAGTTTCAGCGATATTCTGTTTCAACAAGGTCAGAGCCAAATCGGGACAGTTGGCGCACATGACCGACAGCATTCTGAGAACCGTAATAAAGGTGCCTGTACTAACGATCGGCGGAGTCACTACCAGCAGCTGTTGCAAGTTCGTAAGGAGTTCAGTGCTGGCGATCTCTTGAAGTTTTGCCGGATCCTGATGGAAGCTGTCGACAAGACGCGAGAAAGCTAAGCAGACGCTCTCCAACAGGAAGCATGTATTTATAAATTAATGAGTTGTGATGAAAATTCAATTTATGCACAAAAACTATCAAATATACATTGTTATTGTCATTTCAGCGTATATTACAACAAACCTTTTCTAAATTCATGTGTTTGAGAACGATTAGTAACCATTTCTCATGCTTATTGTTAAGTAGTTCTATAGTAAAACAAGATAGGTCAGTACCAGACACAAAAAGAATCACAAAATGTTTACTACTCGTTCTCAAACACAGACAAACGGAGTACAGGTTTCCAAAGTAGAGAATTATCTAATAAATATCTGATAACTTTATTGAATGAAATACAGCACTCAAATTTGGAAAATTATAACTCACAGCAATTATACTTCCAAATAACAGAGCTGATTGGCCAATGCAACCTCAAAAAATTACATACTCTTTACTCAAATAATTTGAGAATTTCATAAGCCTAGGAAAGTTAAANAAGTTATTTTCTTTATTCAATATGAATTTCTACAAAATAAATAGGTCATCAATCGAACAAGTCACCATAAAGTGTTTTTTTTAATACTCTCCTCTACTCTATAAAAGAAACAATATTGATCAAAGGCAGAATTCAGTACAATTCCAAGTCTAATTACATTTAAGGAAAATGTATACTCACAGCCAAAAGAATTGCTTTCGAATGCCTCCTGGACAACATATCTAGGGCAGTCAATGATTGTTCAGCCACATCCATGCACTGAATCACTTGCAATTTTTCCAAAAAGACAGGAACTGCATCAACCACCACAGCAGAAGATCTGGGCAAGGCTTCCATCATGTACGTTAAGGCTCGGCAGGCATGATTCATCTTTAAAAAAAAACATCGTTGACTCTTCGAGAAAATTGATTATGGAATAAAATACATGTGAAACCTGAAAACTGTTTTTACTCACAATATCAAAATTGTGCTCCATTCCCAACAAGGTTGTAAGGGGCGGTACAACTTGTTTTACTGGAAATCCTGTCAATATCTCTTCATTTCCCATGACCAATATTTGGCACATCTCAATTACGGCTTGTAGCTGTTGTCCTTCATCGCCGATGGCTTGCAGACCAGGGATAAGAGCTTGGGCTTTAGCTACAGCTTTACAATAATGGACATATGAATTAGATATTTCGTCTGTGAGAAGTTATTTTTTAGTTTTGAATAAAAGTTATCATAATTTCCCATTAAATCAGTGGAATTGAGAAAAAATGTAACATCACTTTTAAATTTCTACATGATGCAGGTCTCAGAAAAAAACAACATATTTCAATTGTGCAAGATCTATGGATTGATAGAATTGATAACAGACATGACATTTGTCCCAAATAAATTTTTCAATAGTGAAAAAACAATAATTGAATAATTTTGATATTTTTCAGTTATTATCACAACTACAACCCGTTTTGGATAGATATATTTTTTAATAAAAACCAACCATTTTATTATATATCTGTGAGGAAAATGTGACAAGAACTTATTTGGATAGATCTGATGGTTGTATTTGGAATTTTCAACAACCTCTAGATCAATTAGATATGTACCACCTTATATATTGCAAATCATCAAATATTTAAAACAAAACAACGATCAGAACCATAAAACATGTCAAAACAGAGTTGAGAATTTTTCTATGGATCTTTCTGGAAATTCTTTGGAAGGTGAGCATCCATAGAAATCCTATGACTTCTTTAAAAAAAAAGGACTTGTTGAATAGCATTGAGACATTTTTCAGTTTCATTTAGGAAAATCACCATGAGCTTCATCTTTTACATATCCCTTAGAAAATGTAAATAATGTATTGAATAGAATTTTTCATCACGAGTATGATATACCCCACAATTATTTCTTTATCAAAAAAAAGGATTTTTATTAAATTACATTCACATAGGGAGGAAAGTTTTTAGAACAGCTCGTAATTGACCTTTACACTGAAAAATTTGTTGAAAAAAGATTAAAAAAATTCTTATAACTTTTCACATGAGAGTTTAAATGAAACATGTCGGTCAAAATAAACCCTTGAGGATTGCAGTGAGACTCAAGATGAACCTATTTTAAAACAGAAGTTTATTCAATTTTCGAGAAATATTTTTTGAAATCCTGAATATTTCCAAAACATCTAGTTATCGAAAAAAGGATATGAAGGGTAATCTTTAATAGTGACAAATTGAAATTTATTTCAAGTAATCATTCTTGTCAATCCATAAATGCTTGTAGAACCGAATGGTTTTTTCCAGTTCTCTTAAAATTCCAGTGTTAGAGTTTTAACTGATTTTCTCTGTTCATCAAATTCTAGATTGAATGTAGAGCTATAAAACATAAAAAAAAAAATAGTTTCAACAATAAAAGTTACTGAACGATAGAATTGTAACCTGTGGAGTAGAATCAATTCAAAGAATACACTTCTTTTTTGTCAGAAAAAACTGGAAATATAAAAAGTATATTGATTACACAGAACTACAAATAAATATTGTTGGTTAAGTGAGTCAGTTGTTTTGAGTTACAAATCAATTGGAGAATTGAAGGCATTTAGTGAATACAATAAAATATAACATACAACTGCCGGATTGAGTCACGTAAAATTGAAAAAAAAGTTTCTATTCCATTTTTCTTAATACTTTCTTTGTCATACACCGACTCAAACTTTACGCAGATACGATTTCTCCCACCGGCCATGACTCAGTCCGTTAGATGTAGTAAAATACATAAAATACGACACAGTTTTCATGGGAAAACAAAATATATTAGGAAGTAACCCAGGAATATGATGACTTCTGTTATGTGAGTATAAGAAAGGCAGGAAAAGACAGCTGTTATGGGAAAATATTAAAAATACTTGGGAGCAACCAAAGAATACGATAATATAAAGTAACAAAAGAACAAGAAAATATAAGATAAGGAATATAGGATATTCAAGTGTTAAAAGATCAGAATATCTCTCTTGTCAATGAAGCACTTCTTAAGTGATTAGACTTCGATGATTTGTTTTCTAAAATAGTAACCAGCTGCTTCTTTACAAGAACTTCATAAGACTTCTGTTCTGCCAGTATAAGAAAGACTTAAAAGTTGCTCATGTTCTGGTCACGTATCCAAATGCAAACCTTCTACGATGTTGCTAGTTTCAGATGCGGGCAGAACTCCCTCAAGTTTGTTGCAGTCTTCTTTTGCATTCAAATGCAAAGTAACAGTAATAAATTTGGTCTTACCCGCAGTATAGTACCCAAAAAATTTATAATCGTTGTATTCTTCGAAATAGGTTACATTATTCACATGGTCGGGGGTAGAGGGTATGTAAGAACTGGTAGATGCTAAACGATTTTCATATTCACTAGGGTCCGCCGTAATCTCCTCTTCTTCCAAACTATCGCCTGCTTCAGAATACAGAAAATTATTGTCAAACATCTTACACGAATATGTGTGATTCTCTATTCAGTCATACATAAATACAAACTATACAAAAATAAAAAACAATGTCATAAGATTAAAAATATTTCATTACAAACAGAAAAAATAATAAAATCCTAAATCGAGATACAACAAAAACATCAATCTTGTGTTTTCGAAAGGTGTTTATATGATTGGCGAAGAAATGTATTGAATCAGTATTTTTGAAAATATATGTGGTATCTTCTCTTTCGAGATCTGTGGGTGAATTGCAGATTCTCTCAATAGAACAATTCATTATTTGCCAAGAAACAAACATGTTCAATAGAACTTGTGATGTATTTATTCTAATTTGAGAAAATATTTTACTACTATCGCAAAATCCTGTTTTCCTGATGAGTGTATCATCTACACAGATTTGGTTCAGTAAAATCTGAATCACAGATTATTATTAAAAATAAAAAATTATGAAATATGAACAAATACTTATGGAATCGTATATATAAAAAAACTTCCCGGAAATATATTGATATGAAGGCTGACACTTTTGTCGTATCAAGTCAACTATTTGATCTGGTACCATAATCAATGAATCAATAAATATTTATTGATGTAAAAACTGATTATCTAATGAGTTACCTCTATATATAAAACATAATAAACGTTATTATTGATTTATTCTAAAAAATATCAAAAGCATTTCATCTGTATACACGGATTCACCAAAACGTACAGTTACTGACCGACGGAATGTTTTTGTATAGTTCTTTATAATTATGGTAACATTTGCAACGGTTCCATATCAACAATATCGAGTGACACAAGTATGAAGTTTGCTTTTGATCAATTTTACTATACCAAAATCGATTTGAAGTTGCTGCAGTTGTGTCACTGGACTTACAAAACATAGATATCGTCCATACAATACACTAAATTTAATATATAAAAGGACAAATATAACATGCACATGTCTAATATCGAATTAGAGAGACAAAAATATGAACATTTTATCAGAGACTGAAAAAACGGCCAACATATGAACGTAATTTGCTTAACACGCAACACGACATTTTTTTTTTTAATATCTAATATTTCATGAATACTAGAAAGTCAATAATTTTGAATATTGAGCAGCCTAAGTCGAAAAAAAAAGAGAGAGCTTTATCGCGATGGACTTGTAACTGTATTTTTGTTTCTCTTTTATTTCTTATTAATTAATGATGAAAGCATGCAGTCTAAAAATATTCCAAATATAATTGGCTGTGCCCATGGCTAGGGAAGGCATGGTATTCTGGACAATGTTTTCCAACGAGTCCATACTAGCTAGGAAAAGATTTTCATAGAAGAGTGAATTGGACAGTTGAATAAAATGTGGTAGTTCCATATGTATTTTGGTTACAATACAAACAAATTTCTCATGTGTTTATGCTGATGTGGATGAGCCAATTAGTGTGAATTTAATAGCAGCTAATGCGCATTCTCAACTTAGCAAGGTTCTTGTTATACATACTGGAAGTTTCAGACGAAGATATTCTGATGATTGGTTACAAAAAGTGAAGAGAAAGAAGAGAGGCGTAAAAGAGCAGAGTTGTTATTCCTAATGTAGGACCCACAAAGGCGACTCCATGGCATAAGGTCGAATTATTGTGATACTTGTTTCGCACAACTGTTCAATAGTTGTAATTACACCAAAACACATTTTTTCAACAATATATTCACTTCTTCTGCCCTCAAATACTTATCACAGAAACATTCCAAATTTTCTTTTGAAGAGGTACACTCTGTGTAATTTGGGAGTCTCTTTTCCCTATTTTCTTGCGAAAATCAGTTTAATATTGATCCACAGTATCCATTTCTTCTCGAAACCCTTGATTTTCTGTGTTGACCACCCAAATATTTCAAAGTAATTCTTGATAAATTTTTCAGTACTGAAGGAAGAATATCACCTATAGTCAATTGTTCCTATTTTTCGACTATTTGCAATATGCCTTTGAAACTCAATTTTCATTATAAGACTAGTCGACTGCTGCATCGTAAATTTGAGATGATCAAGCCTGAATACAAACATACCCTTATTTTCAGTATACTGAAGATTTTCAATGTTATACAGTCCTGGATAAAAACAGATTTATTGTAAGAGTAAAACTATAGTTTCTTTGTAGCTCTTCACATTTATATTTATGTGTGGGTTTGTGTTTATAGCATTTTATTGTCACACTATAGAATGTCTGTTTCTTCTGTATGGTTATGTGATGTTGTAAGCTACAAACTTGATCTTATCCGTTTCAAATAAGTATTCACAATTGATATTATTATTCACGTGTATTGTACAGGTGCATTTTCCAATTTCTATTTCTTCTGAAATGTTCTCAAATTCAAAGAAGCAAAACTTATAAAGGTGTTTGAAAATATTACTTTGCTTCATTTTACCTTGTTCCTTTTTTCATTATTCCTATTTCTCAAATAAGTCTAGGACTACAAATAATACTTTTGACGTCTATACTATATTATTTATGACTCCACTTACATCATTTTTCGAAATTTTCCTTTCCTCTGCCCACCCACCTTTATGTTCTCAATATTTATAAAAAAATATGGAAAATTTTGTAGTATACATACCCTTTATATACTTTAAATTCAGGATATGTTGTTAGAGGAAAATGTTTGGTGGATAGACGTATAAATATTTTGATATCCTGTATTTCTGATACCAATGAAGCTTTCCAAAAATTTGCTTTTGTGGCTTCCTATATGAATTGTGTTATTTCAATTTAAAGTTTAACTCTGTGGGTGCTTTGCATTTTATTTGTCGTGATTAGCTTGTGTCACCGAGATCTAGTGTGTGCACTCAAAAAAAAAAAGTCCTGTGCACTCAAAAAAAGAGTCCATTTGATCGTTTTATTTTTATTTTAAAGAATAATTCAATGACATTATCACGTTTATCTAGGAATACCGCATTAAGTCAGTCATGTGGCTTCTTCTTCCTTTGTTTTTTTGTCTTGATGAGTCTTCGAAACACTACCGTTGTTCTTACAGTTAATGCATATACCACTGAAGATGTCTGTCTCAGAAGCAGACACAACGTTTGTTTCTACAAGTTACATTCCACCACACCCTACCAACCAAAATTTGTTCTTTCTAATCGTGACCCCCACCCTGCTTTAGATGATGCTTTAGCTGAGGAATGGACAAATTCCTTAGGAAAAGATTGCAAATCTGCATGGATGGGGTGCCAATAATTAAATCTATAAGCAGAGCAAGGGGGAAAGGAAATATTCAATATTAGCATCATTTTCATTTGCAGTGAAAGGGAGTTTAATAAACAGGTTGATCAAAGATTTGATCCTGCTCGAGTGCTGGTAAAATCTACAGGGTTTTTCAAAAATATCATTAAAAACATCAAGCTGTTATTTAAGAAGAGATAACACCACTGACATAACGAGGCACTTCAACTTATGTCATAATGTCAAAAATTTGTTCTACAAAATAAAAAAAATTACAATGAAATCAGACTCCTACGTTCAGAGTTATATAGCAGCAAAATTTATTTGCACCAGTTTTTTTTGACTCTCAGTGCTGGTAGGTACTTTGCGTCTCTGCTGAAATTGTGGTTAGTAAATCAGAGCTTTGAAATTAATCGTAATTAAAGTAACCATGATCAGCAATCTTAACCTCTTGTTTCCGATAAAGTTTTTATTTGTAATCAATAATGCAAAACTCATTAGGGATTTACTAGTTTCCTGAATGGGTCATCACATGTCAAATTAACACACCTATTCAACCTTGCCATGTCAGACTTTGATGAAATTTGGAACAGATGTACGTACATTTTATGAAGACTGAGAAAACATATTTTTTTTTAATTCTCAACCCGTGTTGTGTTATAGCAATTTCAAGATTCTAAAATACATCCAAAATCGCTCTGAGGCTATAATTTAATATAATATGCAACACATATGGAGTTTAAGAAAATGTTTACCAATTTTTCACTTCAAAAAATTATTTGATTTTCTAAGATCTACAAAAAAATCCCAATAGGAATCACAGCCAAGAAGTGTGCAAATGGGAAAGTTATGGGTTCTCAATTGAATTCATTCAAAACTAAATTGAAAGAAAAAAAAAGTTTAATTTAGTTCAACTAAACAAGTAAAATATTTTTTATTAATTCACAATTGCTTGTAGTTTCTATAACTATATTTTTCCATAATGTACGTCTTCATGTATACTTTTGTCATAACATCCAAAGAGAAATTTAGAAAACAAGTTCAGTATAAAATTTTAAAGTACATTTAACTTGAACCACCTTAAATATACTGCAATTTTATAGATGTTTTAATAGCATACCCATGCACAAGGTTTCACCTTTTATGGGTTTTCTATTTTATTTGCTATTATTGTCACTCACTCTTTTTTACATGCAAATATTATGAGCAAATAAATTATTATTATTATCAAGGAAAATAAAATATCTGTATATCCATAAGAACGTCCAAACAAAATTATGTGTGTCGCTTAATACAGAAATAAAAAAAAAATTCCTATTTGTGTGATCACCTTCAAAACTTCGATATTGAAACCGAATGACACTTTTTTGCCACAGTCCGCAGCAAAGAATCTTCCGATGAAATTGGTGGAACTGTGAAAACCTGTTTGCGATAGCAAGTTTACAAGATCCATAAGAAGACAAATTGTCTGTTACTGAACTTGATGAAATAATCACTATAATCCATCATATGGGACACTCATATAACCACTATAGTCTACAAACGTATGATGGCAGATTGCGATACTAATACCGTAAAAGATACTTGTTTTGGAATAGTTAAGTTTTGTGGCACTATCAGGAATAAATGCATGAAATTCATAAATGCCTTCGATTGTCTGTTCGATGAGCTTGTGTTTAAAATATTCGACTTGAATTACTCCTTTTAGAAGGAAAATTTGTACTGGAAATGTTTTGTGAAGTTCAAACTTAGGATCAGTCATAGGATCAGTGTAAACTTGCCTTTGCAGCTAATCCTTTCAAAGGTCTACCAAGTCGTTTGCAAGATAATTTGACTTGGACTGTGGGGAAATAGTGCATGCCATTCAGCTTCAATATTGAAGTCTTCAAGGTGGAGGAACGGGTTAGAAAAGTTTTTGTAATTTTGGTTCGAGCGGCGCATATTATAATTCCATAAGGATATCCTTATGAACAAGTTAGGGAGATTTGGTAAAAACTTTTTTCTTAAAACCCCCATATGTTGCTTATTACATGAAAGATCATCCAGAAGCTCAATTAGGAGACGAAGACAAGCAGGTGAAATTTGAGTAAATATTCTCAGGGCGATTCTTGAAGTTTTTTAGGGAACTAAAATAGCTATAAAGCGAAAACGGGATGACAAAAATTCAACATACTTCTCTTTGTCTATGTGCATAAAATGCACAATCTGAGATGGTAAAGTTAAATTATAAAATTAAGTGTATTGATTTGATAAAGATTTTTTTGAACCAGCTCCAATACTTACAATTATTCGTGCCCATGCTTCTGTGGAGCATTTGCTGCATTCTCGGTCCAAGGGCGCTGAACAGATGAGGCGGCAACCCCCTCGCTTCGAGCAGCGCCTGTAATCTCCCAACCTCGCTGTCATCGCTTTCGGAATCTATGGCCGGGGCGGAACCGCCTCCGCTCGGAGCAACGGCTTGGGCGGCTTCTTGGGGGGACGATGGTTCATCGTTAGCTGCAAGAAAAAGAGCCAATTCACAAAATACGTCCTCCAAGGAGGGCAGGAATTCGGAAAAGTTCAACGTTTCCATCACGGCATTAGGGCGACACCACTGACGTCGCGTCGGTTCCGTCAAATTGCGATTCTAATGACGTTTGCAAGGGTATTTTGATAAATTAGGTTTTTAGAAAGAGTGACAACTGATAGTAGACCGAGATCTGAATTTGAAACGACCTTCTGTTTGATCGATGGAAATTATTATACAGTGTGACACACTTAAGATGGTAGACATCTCTTTATTTGAATCACTTTTTAAAGCAGATATTTGATTTTTGGTGCAGCTCTAGATCTTCATGGGCCGCACTTTTCGCAATATAATTAGTCCGAGTTACAGCCTTGAATCCAGTCTACTGCGTTCTTGTGAAAAGGGCAAATTCTCGATATTTTGCTTCGAAATAAGTTATTTGAAAAAGTTGCTTAAAATCAATTTTGAACCTAAACAACAAATTTCAACGCAAAATTCGAATTTTGATGAAGAAAAGAGAAATTAAACTTTGTTTTTTACCACTGTTATTTCTAACTAACGTTCGTCCGAAAGGACGAAACTGCAGTAAGGTTAGTTACAAATAAAAGTGGTAAAAAACATAGAAAGTTTCAATTCTCTTTTCTTCATTATGATTTCTTACCACGCAGTAACGGCTACATCCATCAATTTATCGATTTTTTTTGTAATTTTCATACTCAAGTCCGATTTTCAATTAATGGTTCTAAATGAGAAGCTACGAATATAATATTAATTCGTTAAAATGTAGGAATGAGAATCAGGCAAATTCGCAACCAATCATAATCAACAGAAAATTGAAAAACTCTTCAAAATTGGAGACAGATTACTAACTGCGACTAAATTAGATTAATTTACATTTGATAAAATACCAATTTAAAATTTTAGTATTGATTTTGATTATTTTGTCATTTTTGCAGCTCCTTATACGAAACAATTAATAGAAAATGTGTCAAATTTCGAATTTTGGGTTAAAATTCGGTATGTAGGGTGAATCTCAGAGATAGATGCATGATCACAACGCACATTTGCATCTATTGGGTAAAATAAACCAGCCCCCTCATGCTGGCTAATCAGATTCAACTGCAATCGGCTGGCGAAATTCATTGTTACAGTGTCGGAGTGGTCATTTGCGTTTTAATGCCTGTGGTGTGTACATATATAGTATTTTAAGGTGTACAATTTTTTAAATGTCAAGTACCTACTGATACTGTTGAGAAGAAATTGATAATTTGTGTCCCTACAATCCACCTAAAAAAATTCCAATACCCAGCAGCATATTATTAAAAAAAAAATCCGTCGTTCCTTAATGCGACTCTGTACAATCAGCCTTGTCTGGGAAGTCACGTGCGCTATGCATGATAATGTTTTGGAACACTCTGTTGCTTAGATGGACCGGGTGTAGTAATTCACACGGATCTAATGAATGACTCCTATAGGTATCAAAATTAGCGCTGTTTTATTACAAACACGATGACATGGGGCTGTATTCACGAAAAATTCGGATTGAACGATGGATGGCGACCTTTAAAAATAGAAATTTTGATGCTAGTATAAATGTGCGTCAAGAAGGTTGGAGTGGACTGTTCCTCACACTATAGTCTATTTCATTAAGCAGCAGGGTAATAAATCATTTTCAAATGGCTGTTCCATGGGCGTTCATATTTGAGTTGGTTAAAAAGTGAAGAATGTAGTATTTATTGTAAATATTCAATGTTGTATGATTTGAAATAACATATTCAAACGACTCTTATATCTGATTAAATCAGGCATACCAGTAATATTCTTAATTACCCCTGGAAAATAGGATGACGTCATGATCTGATCCGATGTTAATGGTTCTTTGAATAGGTACTTTATTTAGAATATGAATACACCAAAGCCCTTCTTAAACTGAAGAAGATGCAGCATTGCATCTGCACACAATGCGTTCCTCGGATGTTTTTTTTTAATCTGCGAAAATATTGGAGATGACTACGGAGCAGAAAGTATCATTATTCTAGTTTTTTTACAAGAAATGTCGCTCACTTTGTGGTTTTCCCGAATAGCAATAAGCTTTCAACCATTTATCAAATATCACATTTCAATTGAGTAGAAATAAACTGTGGTATTTGTTGACATTTTCAGGTATCAGGTAGTAAAATATTCGATCTTCTTAGAAATTCAAAAGACATACCTCGTTGATTAAGATAAATCCTATAGGATTTGAGAATTAGTAGGGTTTTGATTTATACAGTTTATATAATTTCTGTCCACCATGGACATCCGGATTAGAAATAATAGGAAAGGTTAAGAAATGGATAACATTACTTTATTATTATAGAAATGATTCTCAACATACCTGAATATAGTAGTTTTGAAAATAGGGAATTAGGATAGGAAAAGTTGCAGTATATTTATTACCTGCGAGATTTCAAATATCCAAAATAAAACTCACAGTGGAATTTCAAAATCAAAAACACTTTGTTCCTATTACTAGGAGTATATAACTATTTGATATTTTCATTTTGCCGAACATTCCAAAATCGAAAAAGGATTAAAAAAAAAATCCGTCTCGGGACGCCTGGTAGAAGTGATAATTTAAACTATTTAATATTGAAATTGTTCAACATGAGAAAAGCTTAGGTTATCACTTGAATTTTATGCAAATCAACATTATAATGTAAGAAAATGTTATTTATTAATGAAATCTTCCATTGATTATTTTGTGTATGTAATTTTCAAGCCACATTTCACATAATAAAAGAATATTAGGTGCTTCCTGGTTAGATTTTTATAATACTGTCAGCAGTATATGTCTAACGCACACTAAACACTGAGCGTCTGTCGGACGAGAGAAAAGGGGGTCTGACGTAGGTATGCGTGAGAAAAAGAGAAGCCAGACATACTGGTGCAGTTACGTTAGTTAACGAAGCGGTGTACCCTTCAATAAAATTATAAGTTAAATCTACTGAAAACACTGGTGTATAAAAACTTTTTTTTCATTAGATCCGGTAGTGCATTTAATAAAATACACGCAAGACAGTAATAATTGAAATTGGCTCAATAATTATATCAGTCACAACTAATGAAGCAGCTATTAACTTCATCAAAATTATCAAAATTTCAATAGTTTCCAAGGGATTGTTATTATACCACAATGATAAACTCAATAATTTCTTAAGAGAAAAAGAAGTAGGAAGTACAACTGTAGTAAGGGTAGTAATATTTCCTCAATAGGTTTCGAAAACGTTTCCAGAAAACGATTTAGATTTCAATTGCTGAAACAATCTAAACAAATTGTTATTGAGTACAGGAGAAACACTTAATAGCCGTTAGGCATACCACCAAGATTATCATTTCTACACTTACGGTGTAGCAAACCGGGGTTTTCCAATTCCTCGAAGTCTTCCCCCTCGCTGGTAGAAGAATCCGATGAGAGATCGGATTCATCCTCCTCGCTGATAGAAGAATTCGATGATAGACTTATAAGTTCAGGCATTTCTTCGTCTTCGTTGGTAGAAGACGAATCAAAAATTCCATAATCCATGATAAGGCTAACTGTTCTTATGGTTAGAGCACACTTAGGAAACACAGTTAATTACTCTTATAATTTCTGCTGCGATTTTTCCACTTAAAGAATCATCGGAATAATAGTAAGAACGCTGATAATATCAGTTAAATACAATCCAAACTACTGCAACCATGAACTTGGAAACCACACTAAGGAAACAACACTTTGATGATAATTTCAGCCATGATTTTTACACTCGTAGGAATAGTAGTAGTAGGAACGCTGATAATACCAGTTAAATACAATCAAAACACAATGACTACTGCAACCATGAACCTGGAAAATCTTATGTGTTTGTACACTCCCACTGTCGTTAGGGGGGGGGGATGTACCAGTACCAACCCTAAGATTTAAAAAAAATGGAGTTTATCGAACCCTTTACGTTCGTGTATACGTTTGTGTATACTTCATGTGCGAATGTCACTGGGCGTATAAATAACAATATTTATTTTTCTCGTTGAGGAGTGAGCATACATTTTTTTTACAAAATAGTACACAGTAACAAGAAGACGTAAGGTGTGTACCATAATACAATACAATTACAAACATTACTAATAGTCCAACATATAACACAAATAGTAAAACAACAATTGAAAAATAAATATCACACGTTAGAGTGAAGAATTATTAATTAGCGGTTCGATAGGCGGCGCTCATCAACAAGTTTTTCGACTAACCAGATGTGTGTTTCACAAGTTGAGAATGGTGGAAAATAGAGATAATGGTCGTAAAAATACGTGCGATTGCTCAGTCAATCCGGAATGAAATCTAGAAAAATATGCTAAAACCGTTTTTTAGCTCACAAAAAATTGCAAAAGTTAATTTTCATATCGTGTTAATAGTTCATTTTTTTTATTTTCTTTTATTGTTGCTTGTATTTTATTTCATTGTAATTTCAGTTTTTTTGCTTAATACAATTGTTATTTTCCAGCTAATCTTTTTAATTTTTTATAGATTCTAAACCTACCTGCATATTTCAAGATTCTAGGTTCAGTAGCTTCGGCTGTACATTCATATAAGACGGGCAACAGCCAGTAATTTATTTTTACTTTGAGAATACAGTAACTAGAAAATATGCCAACTGCATGATGAATAGCTTCGAGAATTGAATTATGTTACCTATAAAGAAATTTGCAAAACTAACACAATCGTCAACGACGTCTGCCCACGTACAGGTCGCGTTCTCGGCAATGGCGCTTTATTGCTTAGACCACCCCTCTACCCCCGCGCACCGTCCCCCCGTCGTCTTACAGTAGACGCGACGCGTAATGTCTTTCTGCGTTGCGTCAAGTTATTCTTATTTTGAACTATTTAAGATGAACAGTCCTTATGGTACATTATCTGCATGTATAGTCGAAGTAACCGATATAGTGATCTTAAAGGTGTCGGCGAAGTCAAAGG